ATCTAAAGGGGAGTAAAGGCTGCTGGACATAGAGCTGACCACATGATCATTACACCTGGGTTTATAGGATGTCCCTGTCCACACGATCTAAAGGGGAGTAAAGGCTGCTGGACATAGAGCTGACCACATGATCTCTACACCTGGGTTTATAGGATGTCCCTGTCCACACGGCACGATCTAAAGGCTGCTGGACATAGAGCTGAGCACATGATCTCTACACCTGGGTTTATAGGATGTCCCTGTCTACACGATCTAAAGGGGAGTAAAGGCTGCTGGACATCGAGCTGACCACATGATTCAATCACGTGCCGCTGTCAGTGATACAGAACATCTCTGCTTCACCTACCATATTGACAGTCAGGTCCTAGAGCCTTCATAGTTAGAGCCTACGATATTTTAATATGACGATTTGATTGTGACTCTATCAAGGCCCCGCGGTTTAACTTGCTTTGACCACATGCACGTTCGAGACGTCTTCTGGCTGTATGTGGATCCTGAGAACTTCAAATGGCCAGCTTGTTCATCCTGAGAACTTCAAATGTCCAGATTGTTCATCCTGAGAACTTCAAATGTCCAGATTGTTCAACTAAGCTGATGAAGTTCTTTTACTAACCAAAAATTTAATTTTAATAATATAAAAATGTATATCATGAAGTACATTATTTGGACAAAGCGCTAATGAAAGTAAAAAGTCTTACATTTACGTAGTATTATTTCAGTCCGCATATTATGTTTAGTCATATCAATACACCTGTGTTTACTTATGTTTTTTTCTACAAATTATGTTTTAGTTGTTTTTTTTTTTAAATAATCAAATATTTTCGTAACTGATATTTTAACGGCCAATATGAAAAAAGAAAAGGCTCAAAGAACGGGCAGTAATTCTGTGTGCAAAAAAAAAACACCAAAATTTTCAGTATATCATTTGCATTGTATTATTAACATTCGCTTCTTCTTAAACCTTAATTTGTAGTGAGCTTATCTGTTTATATTTTACAAGCTTTTACTTAACTTAGTTCCTCATGATTAATGTTTCGTACTTAGTCATTGGTCAGATTTGCGAACAGAATTGTACCCATCTCTAACGAGCATATTTGTTTTAATCTCAACACGTAGGCTGATTTCGATGAAAATGTAGAGTAACATGGACATTATTCGATTGTTGTAATGTCACATGGACATTATTCGATTTTTGTAATGTAACATAGACGTAATTAAGTTTTTGTAATGTAATTAGAACATTATTTAATTTGTGTATTGTGACATGGACATTAGTTGATTTGTGTAATGCAACATGGACATTTATATTAGATTTTATATTATATTAGATTTCTCTTATGTAACATGGACATTATAAGATTTCTAATTAGATTTTTAAATATTAACAGTTGCTGTATGAAATACTACTGGTGTCGCCATTTAGAATAAAGAAAATGATTTTTTATTTCAATAAAATTATTTTTAAAGGAAAAATATAAAGCTTATTTAAGTTGGGTCTCTAAAATGAAGTGGTACATTGTTTTTAAAAAAATCGCTTTGTTTTCAATCACGCTTCTGTATATTTGATTTAGTTTTTCACGATCATTTTTTTATATTCTCAACTATAGTATTAATTTTATTCAAATTTATTCCCACAAGGTGTGAAGTATAAAAGGGAGACTGGCTCATTCACAACACAGTTTCACTCCACACGATGGGTGACAGATCAAAACAGCATCTTAAAATAGTCCAAGTGTCGATAGAAAGATTTGAATGACGGGAATAATTGCATGACTCATTACCTAGCATGTTCCTGTTGATTGTATACAAAAAATATTTGGAGAATAATTTGTAAGGTTTCCTGTAGTCTCAAGCTGTTTTGTTTACTGACAATTTGACTTCAACGACTGTAAATGTGTTTATTGATTAAGATATTTTATAACAAAGATATGATACAATGATCTATAGTAGAGATCTTCATCATCTTTTCCCGTTCGTACCCAAGACACATGGGGCAGATGAAGTAGAGTTAATTTGTTACAGGGACCTCGGCATTTGAAGAGATAGTGTGGTCAGCACTAAGGTGAGTTAGGCACCCATCAAAGCTGGGTGGTCTTAGTGACTTGAACCCGGATTCGAACTTGAGACTTACGGGTCAGCAGCCTAGCTCTATAGTACAGAGCTCTACTGTAACAACGCTTATAGGTAAAGATATTCTACTGTAAACATGTTCGACAGTAACGATTTAGTTTAAATACAGATATTCTACTTTTAAAATGTTCTATGGAAAAGATATTATGTTGTAAAGATGCTATACTGTAAAGATATTGTACTGTAAAGATGTTTTTCTGTAAAGATATGCTACTGTAAAGATATTCTACAGTAAATATATTCTACGGTTCTACTGTGAAGATTTTCTACTGTAAAGATTTTCTACTGTAAAGATTTTGTCTGTAAACATTTTCTTTTGTAGCCATGTTTTATTCTAAGTATATAGCCGTATTTTATCTTGTCTTTTAAAAATGAAGGTGACTGAGTATAAAATTGGATGTATGGTCTACTGAAAGAGCGAATGGTGTAGTACTGTAGATGTAAGGATTGTTAGACCCAGGTTAGTAGATATAAGGATTGTTAGACTCAGGTTTGTAGATGTAAGGATTGTTAGACCCAGGTTTTTAGATTTAAGGATTGTTAGACACAGGTATTTAGATTTAAGGATTGTTAGACCCAGGTTTTTAGATTTAAGGATTGTTAGACCCAGGTTTTTAGATTTAAGGATTGTTAGACCCAAGTTTTATCTATCTGCACATGGACCACCATGGTTCATCCGCGCATGACTCAAGCCAATCTTACCCCGTGACCTTCACCCTTAAGATAACATTATCACAACAACAATAACACGATTAGATACTTTGCTCCATTCTTTGCAGACGACACCGAACTTAGTAGTATACGTGTCAGCTGTAGGCGTATGACAACGTAGGCGGTATGGTAGGTTTAACCGGTACAGAAATATGGGTTTAACCAGGGAGGAGAGTTGGTTTAACTTGACCAGAAAAGCGTGAGAGAGTTTAGCTTGTGCTACACCAAAGTTTTGTATGGTTTAGCTTGGGCTACACCAAAGTTTTGCAGGGTTTAGCTTTGGCTAGACCAAAGTTTTGTAGGGTTTAGCTTTGGCTAGACCAAAGTTCTGTAGGGTTTAGCTTGGGCTACACCAAAGTTCTGTAGGGTTTAGCTTGTGCTACACCACAGTTCTGTAGGGTTTAGCTTGCGCTACACCAAAGTTCTGTAGGGTTTGCTCTATAAACGTATATAAAGGTTAGAATGTACAGTGCGTCAGAATTGTCTATTCTAAATGTAATTACATATACAGTTTTAAGGTTAGTATAACATAAACGATATTCTAAAGCAATTAATCGACTGTAAACTGTCAGTCAAGGATCATTTTTACACGCAGGTATGATACAAATCTACCCGCGCGTTCGGTAAAGGACACAATGTTACCTGCAGGTTTGGTAAAGGGAACAATTTCACCCACTATTACACGCAAGCTTCTCAAAGGTTAATCCATTTGGTTAATACCTGATTAGCTATTCCACGTTGGATCTTAAGTACATTATAACTTTACGAGCCGACCCGCGGCATATCATATGCCGCTATTTAGTTGTTTTATTTTCTACTTTTCAGTAATTCATAATTTGTGAATTCGACAGTGCCAATACTACCATTGAAAATATTTTCTTTAAAACACTATCAGTAGGTCGTTAAGAACGATACAACCCCCACCCTCCTTTCCCCCAACCCCTACCCTACACCCCCCCCCCTAGTGAAAGCAGCCTCCTCTTGGTTACCTCCTCTAAGTTTAAAATCGTTTCAAACTAAATTACCTGCCCCTAATAGCCGTCACTAAACCCGACTCTACGAATGTAAACATTTAGCGTGAACCACAGCTCACTAGACCATGTAGGGGTGGGGTGGTAGGGAGCGCACTTACAGCTTGTTTTCTAGCGACTCCCAGAAGAGGATTATATATATAGATAGTTGGCACACAAGCAGCAGCTGATACCAATTGAGAAAGCATGCAAAGGGAAACAACTATGGATTACATAGTTAATGTAAATTGTAGAGCTATTTCCCTTACAATAACACGCTTTTAGCTTGAAGAAAAAAAACACTTTCACTGGCTGTGATAGCTTAAAATATCGCATGCTAAATATCACCTTTTTACTTAACGGCTAAAGCAATCTTTTCACTTTCTTCTAGTAGAGCAGTTCAAAGCGTGAAGATAAATAATGTTTTGTTATGTATGTTTTCTTCCTTCTTTCTAGTAATCTGAAATTAAAGTGTGTATCTGTACATGGATATGCTGTTTATGAACTCAAGTCTGACATTTCTACACACTGTCGGTCCCTGGGTGGACTTCTCTCTTCAAGTGGCCTAGAAAATAAAACGACCCGTCAGATTGTAATTTTTATGGCGCATTTTTTCCCCATTCAGTCCAGATGGCCGAAACTTGAAGGTCAATTTACAAATACGAATAAACAATTAGAGCAAACATATGACTAATTAATTCGACGAACCTTATGAATGCACTCAGTCTAGTAATTAACTCTTTTATTAGGACTCTAATCTAAAATCCACGTCTTTAATAAACGTAATGTGGGGACATGGTCAAATGGTAAAGTCCTAGATGAATAGTACACTACTGGGCATCAATGGTCGGACATTGCCAAATGGTAAAGTCCTAGATAAATAGTACACGACTGGGCATCAATGGTCAAATAGTCAAGTCCTCACTCGGGGCCGTAAAAGTTTAAAAAATAATCCATAAGTCAAAGAACTACTAGGCCTATTATAGCACCGAACCTGTGGCCCACAGGCCCGGCCACCGGCAGTCCAAGACACCTGCTATGCACGTCCTTAAGGAGATCTCAAACTTTTATTGCGCACTAACGATACATTTCCTGCACTGACTTTCATCGCATGTGAATGCCCTGCTGCATTCCTATAAAATGTTTTTAAAAGCTGTTGCTCTGCGGACACCTAGATCCCATACTTTTCACTACTTTAAATCATAAAATCATTAAATGATAGATCTACCATAGAGACCAAGTTGGAGTCTATCTCTATATTTGATTGTAAGTTTGGCAGACTTCCATAAGTATAGTAACATTGTACAAATAAACCTAACAGATCTAGATATCTAACAGCAGCATTTTTTCTAGTTAATATAGGCCTAGAACTAGAATCTAGATCTATTCTACTAGTAAAGATCTACAATCTACATGTCGCAAGTGTAAACGCGTTCAGAAAATACCAAGTTTAAAAAAATGATATACTGGCATATTATTAGTGTGACCTAATGATTTTCAGAGTGTGGCTGTGTTACACAACTCAAACTATGCGGTGTTTCCCTATATCTTGTCTTGTTTTTCTTGACTTGGTCAGTGGAAAAATAACAAGTCAATCTGCAGGTATTCAAATAATTTTTCGCCGTCCGTCTGTCCGTCAATTCGTATGTCCTTCCGTCTGTCTATCTGTCTAACCATCTTTCCTTCTATCCGTCTGTCTGTCCGCCTATCCGTCAATCCATCTGCCCATCTGTCCGTCCATCAGTCCATCAGTTCATCTGTCCGTCTGCCCCTCTGTCCGTCTTTCCGTCTGTCCATCGGCCCATTTATCCATCTGTCCATCTGTGCGTCTGTCCTTTTGTCCATCTGTTCATCTGTCCGTATGTCATGTTTTCCTTCTGTCCACTTGTCCATCTGTCCAACTGTCCATTTTTCCATGTGTCCATGTGTCCATCTGTCCATTTGTCCATCTGTCCATCTGTCCATCTGTATATCTATCCATCTGTCCATTTGTCAGTCTGTCAATAAATGCCACAACTTCTGATATCTTGGACCCAGTTATCCGACCAGAAAACGCGTTGGTCTTTGTGGGCGAGCGATTGGAAGTCAGGTGCAAGTTGTTGTATGACGTCGTCAGGACACGTGACCTCCAGTTTAATCTGACCTGTCAGGGCAATGACCTCACCCACCTCATCAGCAAGCCGATGGTTTTAGACAACATGACGGCAGCTGCATCCGTCAACATTTCTGATGAGCTGGGTACTGTCAATCAGCTGGTTTGTCACTCAGGCTCATCGAGACTGGCATCTACGTTTCTTTATGTTGAACGTAAGACATTTTTTTTATGCTGAACGTAAGACATTTTTTATGCTGACCGTAATACATTTTTATGCTGACCGTAAGACATTTTTAATATTGACCGTTAGACATTTTTTATGCTGACCGTAAGACATTTTTTATGCTGACCGTAAGACATTTTTTATGCTGACCGTAAGACATTTTTTATGCTGACCGTAAGACATTTTTTATGCTGACCGTAAGACAGTTTTAATATTGACCGTTAGACATTTTTTTTATGTTAACCGTTAGACATGTTTTTATATTAAACGTATTATATTAAATGCCATGCTAGAATGTTTGAATGTTTTGCTAGAATGTTTGAATGCCATGCTAGAATGTTTGAATGTTTTGCTAGAATGTTTGAATGCCATGCTAGAATGTTTGAATGCCATGCTAGAATGTTTGAATGCCATGCTAGAATGTTTGAATGCCATGCTAGAATGTTTGAATGCCATGCTAGAATGTTTGAATGCCATGCTAGAATGTTTGAATGCCATGCTAGAATGTTTGAATGCCATGCTAGAATGTTTGAATGCCATGCTAGAATGTTTGTATGCCATGCTAGAATGTTTGAATGCCATGCTAGAATGTTTGAATGCCATGCTAGAATGTTTGAATGCCATGCTAGAATGTTTGAATGCCATGCTAGAATGTTTGAATGCCATGCTAGAATGTTTGAATGCTATGCTTGAATGTTTGAATGCCATGCTAGAATGTTTGAATGCCATGCTAGAATGTTTGAATGCCATGCTAGAATGTTTGAATGCCATGCTAGAATGTTTGAATGCCATGCTAGAATGTTTGAATGCCATGCTAGAATGTTTGAATGCCATGCTAGAATGTTTGAATGCCATGCTAGAATGATTAAATGCCATGCTAGAATGTTTGAATGCCATGCTAGAATGTTTGAATGCCATGCTAGAATGTTTTAATGCCACTCTAGAATGTTTGAATGTTATGCTAGAATGTTTGAATGCCATGCTAGAATGTTTGAATGCCATGCTAGAATGTTTGAATGCTATGCTAGAATGTTTAAATGTTATGCTAGAATGTTTGAATGCTATGCTAGAATGTTTGAATGCCATGCTAGAATGTTTGAATGCCATGCTAGAATGACCGATCTGACCTACAGGACCGCTGCACAACGTCACCATCACAGAGGCCGTGTACAACTACATGGACTGTGTTGTTCTCAGGTGGACCCTGGGTAGCAGCTACAAGGACGAGAGGGCGGTCAGTGTGGAGGTGGAATGGCTACCCCATGACGTCATCACTGACCGGTAGCTTGCCAGTTGGGCAAAAATAAGCAAATCATTCATTTTCCTTTTGTCGACAAAACTTTTATCATAGGGTCACTAAATTTCTATTGTATCACCATATCCCCAAACTGTTTGAATGTCACCACTAGGTCACCAAAATGTTTGAATGTCACCACCATGTCACCTAACTGTTTGAATGTCACCACTAGGTCACCAAACTGTTTTTATGTCACCATTAGGTCACCAAACTGTTTGAATGTGACTACCATGTCATAAAACTGTTTGAATGTCACCATTAGGTCACCAAACTGTTTTAATATCACCACTAGGTCACCAAACTGTTTGAATGTCACCACTAGGTCATCAAACTGTTTGAATGTCACCACTAGGTCACTAAACTGTTTTAATGTCACCATTAGGTCACCAAACTGTTTAAATGTCACCACCAGATCACCAAACTGTTTGAATGTCACCACTAGGTCACCAAACTGTTTGAATGTGACTACCATGTCATAAAACTGTTTGAATGTCACCATTAGGTCACCAAACTGTTTTAATATCACCACTAGGTCACCAAACTGTTTGAATGTCACCACTAGGTCATCAAACTGTTTGAATGTCACCACTAGGTCACTAAACTGTTTTAATGTCACCATTAGGTCACCAAACTGTTTGAATGTCACCACCAGATCACCAAACTGTTTGAATGTCACCACTAGGTCACCAAACTGTTTGAATGTGACTACCATGTCATAAAACTGTTTGAATGTCACCATTAGGTCACCAAACTGTTTTAATGTCACCATTAGGTCACCAAACTGTTTGAATGTCAACACTAGGTCACCAAACTGTTTTAATGTCACCATTAGGTCACCAAACTGTTTGAATGTCACCACCAGATCACCAAACTGTTTGAATGTCACCATTAGGTCACCAAACAGTTTGAATGTAACCATTAGGTCACCAAACTGTTTGAATGTCACCACTAGGTCACACAACTGTTTCAATGTCACCACAATGTCACCCAACTGTTTGAATATCACCACCATGTCACCCAACTGTTTGAATGTCACCACCATGTCACCCAACTGTTTGAATGCCACCACAATGTCACCATTCTATCCGTGCACACAACAAAACAAAACCACCTGTGTCATCGGACCAGAGGATTACGCCGGACATGTGTGGATTAGTTTTAGGATTACAGTTTTCCATACAGCCTGGATGAACCGACCAAAGGAGTCGATGGTCTTAGACATGGTCAACTTGAATGCCACCATGTTTTACCAGATGAAGGTCAGGGAGAAAAGTAAGGAACTCGTTGATTGGTTAATGCGGGTTCAAATAGGAACTTGCTCTATGCTGATTCAAGTACATATGCTCTAGTTATATATTAACTCCTAAATTGTTCTATGCTTTGTTCAAATGTGTATAAGTTTACTTGTAAACACAGAGAAGGTCTAATTGATATAGGCCTACAAGCAAGGAGCTCACTTTGTATTGGTGGGACAATATTACTGTTTGGGTGTTTTTGTAGATCTTAATGAAAGCATTGATGTATGATTGTGTATTTGTCGAACCTAGTGAAAGCATCGTTGAGCTTAATAAAAGCTATAAAATGTGGTTTTATATTCGACTTGTAGCCTTAATATCTCTTTGTGTAATCTGGTATTATTATAGAATAAAGCGGGACATATTTGTGCAGGCTTTATAACATAATAAAGCTATTTGTTCTCACGGGATGAAGAGCTCAAATATTCCCAAAGTGTAAGGCTACATGTAAGGCTACATGTGAGGCTACATGTAAGGCTACATGTGAGGCAACATGTTAGGATGTAAGGCTACATGCGAGGCTACATGTATAGTTACATGTGAGGCTACATGTAAGGCTACATGTCAGGCTACATGTGAGGCTACATGTGAGGCTACATGTAAGGCTACATGTGAGGATGTGAGACTACATGTGAGGCTACATGTGAGGCTACATGTGAGGCTACATGTGAGGCTACATGTGTGGCTACATGTCAGGCTACATGTCAGGCTACATGTCAGTCTACATGCGAGGCTACATGTAAGGCTTTATGTGAGGCTACATGTCAGGCTACATGTCAGGCTACATGTGAGGCTACATGTGAGGATGTGAGGCTACATGTGAGGCTACATGTGAGGCTACATGTGAGGCTACATGTGAGGCTACATGCAAGGCTACATTTATAGTTTACATGTAAGGCTACATGTGAGGCTACATGTGAGGCTACATGTCAGGCTACATGTGAGGCTACATGTGAGGCTACATGTGAGGCTACATGTGAGGCTACATGTCAGGCTACATGTCAGGCTACATGTGAGGCTACATGTGAGGCTACATGTGAGGCTACATGTCAGGCTACATGTCAGGCTACATGTCAGGCTACATGTGAGGCTACATGTGAGGCTACATTTGAGGCTACATGTGAGGCTACATGTAAGGCTACATGTCAGGCTACATGTGAGGCTACATGTGAGGCTACATGTGAGGCTACATGTTTTGACCATTGCAGCTAAACCCGGACCGCCAGAGAATGTAACGGCAGTGCGGGTTAATGCGGGTTGCATCAACGTGTCGTGGAGCGAACCTCAGGTTTTCAGCAACTGCTCCATGTGTGAGAAAAAATATCAAGTGGATGTCAGAGATGGCAATGGGTCAAAGGTCGTGAGCGTAAGTTTGAAACGTTGAAACCATTTTACTTCTTGTGGTTGTTAAAGTCAAAATGATGTGGTCGTTAAGGAAGCTACAAGTTTTTCCTCCAAGTTTTCCTACAAGTTTTTCCTACAAGTTTTTCCTACAAGTTTTTCCTCCAAGTTTTCCTACAATTTTTTCCTACAAGTTTTTCCTACAAGTTTTTCCTACAAGTTTTCCCTACAAGTTTTTCCTACAATTTTTTCCTACAAGTTTTTCCTACAATTTTTTCCTACAAGTTTTTCCTACAAGTTTTCCTACAATTTTTTCCTACAAGTTTTTCCTACAAGTTTTTCCTACAAGTTTTCCCTACAAGTTTTTCCTACAAGTTTTTCCTACAATTTTTTCCTACAAGTTTTCCCTACAAGTTTTTCCTACAAGTTTTCCCTACAAGTTTTTCCTACAATTTTTTCCTACAAGTTTTTCCTACAATTTTTTCCTACAAGTTTTTCCTACAAGTTTTCCCTACAAGTTTTTCCTACAAGTTTTTCCTACAAGTTTTTCCTACAAGTTTTTCCTACAAGTTTTTCCTACAAGTTTTTCCTACAAGTTTTTCCTATAAGTTTTTCTTACAACTTTTTCCTACAATTTTTTCCTACAAGTTTTTCCTACAAGTTTTTCCTACAAGTTTTTCCTACAAGTTCTTCCTACAAGTTTTCCCTACAAGTTTTTCCTACTGACTTCCTGGGAAAATAATGCCAAAATTAGACACGCGACAAGCATTATATAGCTAAACCTACCATAATTATAACAGAAAGAATGCTATGGTTAAAGCTAAACCTACCTTAATTATGACCGACGGAATGCTACGGTTAAAGCTAAACCTACCTTAATTATGACCGACGGAATGCTACGGTTAAAGCTAAACCTACCTTAATTATGACCGACAGAATGCTGTGGTTAAAGCTAAACCTACCTTAATTATGACCGACAGAATGCTGTGGTTAAAGCTAAACCTACCTTAGTTATGACCGACGGAATGCTACGGTTAAAGCTAAACCTACCTTAATTATGACCGACGGAATGCTACGGTTAAAGCTAAACCTACCTTAATTATGACCGACAGAATGCTACGGTTAAAGCTAAACCTACCTTAATTACGACCGACAGAATGCTATAGTTAAAGCTAAACCTACCTTAATTACGACCGACAGAATGCTATGGTTAAAGCTAAACCTACCTTAATTGTGACCGACAGAATGCTACGGTTAAAGCTAAACCTACCTTAATTGTGACCGACAGAATGCTATGGTTAAAGCTAAACCTACCTTAATTACGACCGACAGAATGCTATGGTTAAAGCTAAACCTACCTTAATTACGACCGACAGAATGCTATGGTTAAAGCTAAACCTACCTTAACTATGACCGACAGAATGCTGTGGTTAAAGCTAAACCTACCTTAATTATGACCGACGGAATGCTACGGTTAAAGCTAAACCTACCTTAATTATGACCGACGGAATGCTACGGTTAAAGCTAAACCTAGCTTAATTATGACCGACAGAATGCTATAGTTAAAGCTAAACCTACCTTAATTATGACCGACGGAATGCTACGGTTAAAGCTAAACCTACCTTAATTATGACCGACGGAATGCTACGGTTAAAGCTAAACCTACCTTAATTATGACCGACAGAATGCTATGGTTAAAGCTAAACCTACCTTAATTATGACCGACAGAATGCTATGGTTAAAGCTAAACCTTACCCCAAGTCTGGCGAGAAGGTACAGGTGTGTCTGGTCAAGCCGTACCGTGAGTACAAAGTTTACCTGCGCTTGTCTGGTGACACCCTCAGCACGTGGAGTGATTGGGCGACAGTTGATTTCACAACACAAAATAGTAGTGAGTATAGCTAGGTTACTGTTGATATGACAACACAAAAAAGTAGTGAGTATAGCTAGGTTACTGTTGATATCACGACCTAAAATAGTAGTGAGTTTTGTTATGTTACTGTTGATAACACAGCCCAAAATAGTAGTGAGTTTTGTTATGTTACTGTTGATATGACAACACAAAATAGTAGTGAGTATAGCTATGCTACTGTAAATATCACAACACAAAATAGTAGTGAGTATAGCTTGGTTAAAGTTAATATCACAGCCCAAAATAGTAGTGAGTATAGCTAGGTTACTGTTGATATCACAACACAAAATAGTAGTGAGTATAGCTATGTTACTGTTGATATGACAACACAAAATAGTAGTGAGTATAGCTATGCTACTGTAAATATCACAACACAAAATAGTAGTGAGTATAGCTAGGTTAAAGTTAATATCACGACCCAAAATAGTAGTGAGTGTACCATTAAACCTCATTTTGAACTGTCAAACTTTAACCAGGGTATTATTCCCCCCCCCCCCCCCCAATTCACAGTTCCAACAAGCGGTCCACCACTGGATGAAACTAGCTACCACACTGAGCTGTGTGACGCAAATAGCAGGGACGTGACGGTGTACTGGCAAGTAAGTTGTTCTTACGGTGTACTGGCAAGTTGTTCTTACGGTGTACTGGCAAGTAGGTTGTTCTTACGGTGTACTGACAAGTTAGTTGTTCTTACGGTGTACTGGCAAGTAAGTTGTTCTTAGGGTGTACTGGCAAGTAAGTTGTGCTTACGGTGTACTAGCAAGTAAGTTGTTCTTACGGTGTACTGGCAAGTAAGTTGTTCTTACGGTGTACTGGCAAGTTGTTCTTACGGTGTACTGGCAAGTAAGTTGTTCTTACGGTGTACTGGCAAGTAAGTTGTTCTTACGGTGTACTTGCAAGTAAGTTGTTCTTACGGTGTACTGGCAAGTTGTTCTTACGGTGTACTGGCAAGTTGTTCTGACGGTGTACTGGCAAGTTGGTTTTATGGTGTACTGGCAAGCAAGTTGTTCTTACGGTGTACTGGCAAGTAAGTTGTTCTTACGGTGTACTGGCAAGTTGTTCTTATGGTGTACTGGCAAGTAAGTTGTTCTTACGGTGTACTGGCAAGTTGGTTTTACGGTGTACTGGCAAGTAAGTTGTTCTTACGGTGTACTGGCAAGTAAGTTGTTCTTACGGTGTACTGGCAAGGAAGTTGTTCTTACGGTGTACTGGCAAGTTGTTGTTACGGTGTACTGGCAAGTAAGTTGTTCTTAGGGTGTACTGGCAAGTAAGTTGTGCTTACGGTGTACTGGGAAGTAAGTTGTTCTTACGGTGTACTGGCAAGTAAGTTGTTCTTACGGTGTACTGGCAAGTAAGTTGTTCTTACGGTGTACTGGCAAGTTGTTCTTACGGTGTACTGGCAAATTGGTTTCATGGTGTACTGGCAAGTAAGTTGTTCTTACGGTGTACTGGCAAGTAAGTTGGTTTTACGGTTTACTGGCAAGTAAGTTGTTGTTACGGTGTACTGGCAAGTACGTTGTTCTCACGGTGTACTGGCAAGTTCTATTGGCAAGTTTAAATATTTTCATTCGTAACATTCAATAAAAACTCTCTTATTAAAGAAAGCAAGTTTGTATAATTTAGTTCTGTCATTGAATTTAAAATGTGTTATTAAAATGAGTTTAATTGTTGAAACAAAGTTAAAATGAACATTTCCCTCCATCTTTGTCTGATGTGTCTACTACCAGACGCCCCCCTCTTATGGCGAGGGTGTGGAGTTGTTAGGCTTCAAAGTTTCTTGGGGTCACACAACCACCTTCTTGAGTCCTGAGTTGAGATATTTCCAGAGGAATGCCAACTGCCTCATGCAACACACCATCGAAATCTACTCACTAACCAACCTGGGCGAGTCTCTAACACCATCTAATATACTCATACCGGAAGAGAAAAATGGTACGTTGTCATGTATTTTCTATAGTCGACCAATCAGGACGCTGGACTTTATTTTACGTCTCAGATAATACGTTGAATACTTGACTGGACACATCTTACATATTGACTATACACAACTGTCATATTGGCTACATATATATATATATATATATATATATATATATATATATATATATATATATATATATATATATACACACATATGTGTGTGTGTGTATGTGTGTGTGAGTGAGTGCGTGTGTGTGTGTGTATGTTGACCATACAGAAGTTTTAATGTGGTGCCGTAAGGTATATATCCTTGTAAAAGCTTACCAAAGAAAAAAAAATGATGTAATTATATCTTTCTATTGATAGAATTAGAGACAAGAGAAATAGATTTCAGAGTGGAAGAAGACTTCGATCCGAAAGTTTCAATAAACACAAAGAATATCCTAGTCATGTGGGATGGGACCTACCTTAGCAGTGTAACGATTGTCATCTATATATGTCAAGAGTTTTATTTACCTAAAACATGTTCTGTAAGTGATATAATCTTATTTTAATCATTTTTAAATAATACTAGACTACCCGTTATCTAGTTAGATAACTGTGGGTTTCGGGGATCATCCATAAATGACATCGCGTATGTCACTAATCATCACAAAATAACCAGACCCCACATTCCAAAAGGCGTCACACCTCAGACATTTTTGTCTTTTAAAAACACTGACTTCGTCTGAGCATAATCTTTTCATATGCTGAGGTCACAAAAACAGGGCAACTCTACTTCACCTGCCCAGTGTCCTCCCAACTCAGACATGTTTTTGTCTGTGAAAACACAGATTTTGGCTGAGCGTGGGTCTGACCACACTATCTCTTCATATGCTGTCGTTACAGCTGAACTTTACACCTACCCAACACTACTTCACCTGCCCAGTGTTCCGCCAAGTCTCAGACAACATGTTTTATCTTTAAAAAAAAAAAGATTCCGGCTGAGCATGGCTCTGACCATACTATGCACGTTATATACTGAGGACAAAGAAAGAGGTGAACTCTACTTCACCTTCCCTGTATCCCGCTAAGTTCCAATCGGCAAAAGCAACATTATCATTCACAACTAAAAACAAAAAAATAAAAAACAAAAAAACAAAAAAAAAAAATACGCTGACATGTCAAGAACCCATGCCACCCGCATGGTAACATAATGTGCTAACCTCTTAGCTATCTAAGTTCGTACTCATGAGAAGTTAATAACTTATATATTTTACTTCTAAGCGGCGTAAGAATCTACGCGAAGCAGCCCTAGAATTAGATCTAGATCTAGAATTATTTCAAATTAAATTGTATCTTAAATTAGCAAATTGCATAGCTAAACAAACAAAGATTTATATAAAATAATTAAGGCCTGAAATAGTTTAGTATATTATGATTCTAGTTCTAGATTCTAGATGTAGAATTTACGTTAAATCTGGATTTAGATGTAGAAATTAGATCTAGAGTCTACGTTGAGTCTAGATCTAGACTAGATCTAGATCTAGATCTAGATTTAGATTGAAAACTTTTTCTTCCTTCGCCAGCTGATCTGTAGATTTAGAGAAATTTATTGTAAAACTAAATGAAAAAGACAGTTGATAATTGATATAAGTGTTGGAACGTAATATATTTAGCAAACAGACGTATTGTTAAATTTATAGCCGACAGAAAATTAGCTTTAGAACGCGTTAAACATTGGAATGGGAACACAATCTTCTTCGATAGAAGCCGCCATTGTTGATGTAAAAAGTAAACAAATCATGTGACGTCACTATTCAGTCAAAGTAATGCCACTGTTTGAAACTTTTAAAATTAATGTGGTGAATCTAATCAATAAATTAACAGTTTGTCTGAAAACAAAAGTTGTTCTCTACCTACATAGTATTTTACAGCTCTACATATAGAGCAGATTCTCTCCGGTAGCCAATAAGACAAACAAAAAAGCAAATAAATATTCAAACATGTAAACAAACTTGAGTTTTAGTAGTATAGAGATTTCACACATTTCTCCGCCTGCACTACCCGCCTCCCACTATCAACCTCCACTATTCACCTGCACTATCCACCTGCACTACCCGCCTCCACTATCAACCTCCACTACCCGCCTCCACTATCAACCTCCACTATTCACCTGCACTATCCATCTGCACTACCCGCCTCCACTATCAACCTCCACTACCCGCCTCCACTATCAACCTCCACTATTCACCTGCACTACCCGCCTCCACTATCAACCTCCACTACCCGCCTCCACTATCAACCTCCACTATTCACCTGCACTATCCACCTGCACTACCCGCCTCCACTATCAACCTCCACTACCCGCCTCCACTATCAACCTCCACTATTCACCTGCACTACCCACCTCCAGTATCAACCTCCACTACCCGCCTCCACTATCAACCTCCACTATTCACCTGCACTATCCATCTGCACTACCCGCCTCCACTATCAACCTCCACTACCCGCCTCCACTATCAACCTCCACTATTCACCTGCACTACCCGCCTCCACTATCAACCTCCACTACCCGCCTCCACTATCCACCTGCAGTACCCGACTCCACTATCCACCTCCACTACCCGCCTCCACTATCCACCTGCAGTACCCGACTCCACTATCCACCTGCACTACCCGCCTCCACTATCAACCTCCACTATTCACCTGCACTATCCACATGCACTATCCGCCTCCACTATCAACCTCCACTACCCGCCTCCACTATCCACCTGCACTACCCGCCTCCACTATCCACCTGCACTATCCACCTGCACTATCCACCTGCACTACCCGCCTCCACTATCAACCTCCACTACCCGCCTCTACTATCCTCCTGCACTACCCGCCTCCACTATCAACCTCCACTATTCACCTGCACTACCCGCCTCCACTATCAACCTCCACTACCCGCCTCCACTATCAACCTCCACTATTCACCTGCACTATCCACCTGCACTACCCGCCTCCACTATCAACCTCCACTACCCGCCTCCACTATCAACCTCCACTATTCACCTGCACTATCCACCTGCACTACCCGCCTCCACTATCAACCTCCACTATCAACCTCCACTATCCACCTGCACTACCCACCCCCACTATCAACCTCCACTATCCACCTGCACTATCCACCTGCGCTATCCACCTGCACTGTCCACCTGCAGTACCCGCCTCCACTATCCACCTGCACTACCCGCCTCCACTATCAACCTCCACTACCCGCCTCCACTATCGACCTCCACTATTCACCTGCACTACCCGCCTCCACTATCAACCTCCACTACCCGCCTCCACTATCGACCTCCACTATTCACCTGCACTACCCGCCTCCACTATCAACCTCCACTACCCGCCTCCACTATCAACCTCCACTACCCGCCTCCACTATCGACCTCCACTATTCACCTGCACTACCCGCCTCCACTATCAACCTCCACTACCCGCCTCCACTATCGACCTCCACTATTCACCTGCACTACCCGCCTCCACTATCCACCTGCAGTACCCGACTCCACTATCCACCTGCACTACCCGCCTCCACTATCAACCTCCACTATTCACCTGCACTATCCACATGCACTATCCGCCTCCACTATCAACCTCCACTACCCGCCTCCACTATCCACCTGCACTACCCGCCTCCACTATCCACCTGCACTATCCACCTGCACTATCCACCTCCACTATCAACCTCCACTACCCGCCTCCACTATCCACCTGCACTACCCGCCTCCACTATCAACCTCCACTATCCACCTGCACTATCCACCTGCACTATCCACCTGCACTACCCGCCTCCACTATCAACCTCCACTATCCACCTGCACTATCCACCTGCACTATCCACCTCCACTATCAACCTCCACTACCCGCCTACACTATCAACCTGCACTACCCGCCTCCACTATCCACCTGCACTCTTCGCCTCCACTATCAACCTCCACTACCCGCCTCTACTATCCTCCTGCACTACCCGCCTCCACTATCAACCTCCACTATTCACCTTTACAATCCACCTGCCATATCCACCTGCACTACCCGCCTCCACTATCAACCTCCACTATTCATCTGCACTATCCACCTGCACTACCCGCCTCCACTATCAACCTCCACTACCCGCCTCCACTATCAACCTCCACTATTCATCTGCACTATCCAGCTGCACTACCCGCCTCCACTATCAACCTCCACTACCCGCCTCCACTATCAACCTCCACTATTCACCTTTGCAATCCACCTGCCATATCCACCTGCACTACCCGCCTCCACTATCAACCTCCACTATCGACCTGCACTATCCACCTGCACTATGCACCTGCACTACCCGCCTCCACTATCAACCTCCATTATCCACCTGCACTATCCACCTGCACTATCCACCTGCACTACCCACCTCCACTATCAACCTCCACTACCCGCCTCCACTATCCACCTGCACTACCCGCCTCCACTATCAACCTCCACTATCCACCTGCACTATCCACCTGCACTACCCGCCTCCACTATCAACCTCCACTACCCGCCTCCACTATCAACCTCCACTATTCACCTGCACTATCCACCTGCACTACCCGCCTCCACTATCAACCTCCACTATCAACCTCCACTACCCGCCTCCACTATCGACCTCCACTATTCACCTGCACTACCCGCCTCCACTATCAACCTCCACTACCCGCCTCCACTATCGACCTCCACTATTCACCTGCACTACCCGCCTCCACTATCCACCTGCAGTACCCGACTCCACTATCCACCTGCACTACCCGCCTCCACTATCAACCTCCACTATTCACCTGCACTATCCACATGCACTATCCGCCTCCACTATCAACCTCCACTACCCGCCTCCACTATCCACCTGCACTACCCGCCTCCACTATCCACCTGCACTATCCACCTGCACTATCCACCTCCACTATCAACCTCCACTACCCGCCTCCACTATCCACCTGCACTACCCGCCTCCACTATCAACCTCCACTACCCGCCTACACTATCAACCTCCACTATTCACCTGCACTATCCACCTGCACTACCCGCCTCCACTATCAACCTCCACTACCCGCCTCCACTATCAACCTCCATTATCCACCTGCACTATCCACCTGCACTATCCACCTGCACTACCCACCTCCACTATCAACCTCCACTACCCGCCTCCACTATCCACCTGCACTACCCGCCTCCACTATCAACCTCCACTATCCACCTGCACTATCCACCTGCACTACCCGCCTCCACTATCAACCTCCACTACCCGCCTCCACTATCAACCTCCACTATTCACCTGCACTATCCACCTGCACTACCCGCCTCCACTATCAACCTCCACTATCAACCTCCACTATCCACCTGCACTACCCGCCTCCACTATCAACCTCCACTATCAACCTCCACTATCCACCTGCACTACCCGCCCCCACTATCAACCTTCACTATCCACCTGCGCTATCCACCTGCACTGTCCACCTGCACTACCCGCCTCCACTATCCACCTGCAGTACCCGCCTCAACTATCCACCTGCAGAAGCCGCCTCCACTATCCACCTGCACTACCCGCCTCCACTATCAACCTCCACTATTCACCTGCACTATCCACCTGCACTACCCGCCTCCACTATCAACCTCCACTACCCGCCTACACTATCAACCTCCACTATTCATCTGCACTATCCACCTGCACTACCCGCCTCCACTATCAACCTCCACTACCCGCCTACACTATCAACCTCCACTATTCACCTGCACTATCCACCTGCACTACCCGCCTCCACTATCAACCTCCACTACCCGCCTACACTATCAACCTCCACTATTCACCTGCACTATCCACCTGCACTACCCGCCTCCACTATCAACCTCCACTACCCGCCTCCACTATCAACCTCCACTACCCGCCTCCACTATCAACCTCCACTACCCGCCTCCACTATCTACCTGCACTACCCGCCTCCACTATCCACCTGCAGTACCCGACTCCACTATCCACCTGCAGTACCCGCCTCCACTATCAACCTCCACTATTCACCTGCACTATCCACATGCACTATCCGCCTCCACTATCAACCTCCACTACCCGCCTCCACTATCCACCTGCACTACCCGCCTCCACTATCCACCTGCACTATCCACCTGCACTATCAACCTGCACTACCCGCCTCCACTATCAACCTCCACTATTCACCTCAACAATCCACCTGCCATATCCACCTGCACTACCCGCCTCCACTATCAACCTCCACTACCCGCCTCCACTATCCAACTGTACTATCCACCTCCACTACCCGCCTCTACTATCCTCCTGCACTACCCGCCTCCACTATCAACCTCCACTATTCACCTCAACAATCCACCTGCCATATCCATCTGCACTACCCGCCTCCATTATCAACCTCCACTATTCATCTGCACTATCCAGCTGCACTACCCACCTCCACTATCCACCTCCACTATCGACCTGCACTATCCACCTGCACTATCCACCTGCACTACCCGCCTCCACTATCAACCTCCATTATCCACCTGCACTATCCACCTGCACTATCCACCTGCACTACCCACCTCCACTATCAACCTCCACTACCCGCCTCCACTATCAACCTCCACTATCCACCTGCACTATCCACCTGCACTATCCACCTCCACTATCAACCTCCACTATCCACCTGCACTATCCACATGCACTATCCGCCTCCACTATCAACCTCCACTACCCGCCTCCACTATCCACCTGCACTACCCGCCTCCACTATCCACCTGCACTACCCGCCTCCACTATCAACCTGCATATCTGTCCCACCAACCTTTAGAATAACTAGTCTGGCCCACCAACCTTTAGAATAACTAGTCTGGCCCACCAACCTTTAGAATAACTACTCTGACTCACCAACCTTTAGAATAACTAGTCTGGCCCACTAACCTTTAGAATAACTACTCTGACTCACCAACCTTTAGAATAACTAGTCTGGCCCACCAACCTTTAGAATAACTAGTCTGGCCCACCAACCTTTAGAATAACTAATCTGGCCCACCAACCTTTAGAATAACTAGTCTAGCCCACCAACCTTTAGAATAACTAATCTGGCCCACCAACCTTTAGAATAACTAGTCTGGCCCACCAACCTTTAGAATAACTAGTCTGGCCCACCAACCTTTAGAATAACTAGTCTGGTCCACCAACCTCGAGAATAACTAATCTGGCCCACCAACCTTTAGAATAACTACTCTGACTCACCAACCTTTAGAATAACTATTCTGACTCACCAACCTTTAGAATAACTAGTCTGGTCCACCAACCTTTAGAATAACTAGTGTGGCCCACCAACCTTTAGAATAACTAGTCTGGCCCACCAACCTTTAGAATAACTAGTCTGGCCCACCAACCTTTAGAATAACTAGTCTGGTCCACCAACCTCGAGAATAACTAGTCTGGCCCACCAACCTTTAGAATAACTAGTCTGGCCCACCAACCTTTAGAATAACTAGTCTGGCCCACCAACCTTTAGAATAACTAGTGTGGCCCACCAACCTTTAGAATAACTAGTCTGGCCCACCAACCTTTAGAATAACTAGTGTGGCCCACCAACCTTTAGAATAACTAGTCTGGCCCACCAACCTTTAGAATAACTAGTCTGGTCAACCAACCTTTAGAATAACTAGTCTGGCCCACCAACCTTTAGAATAACTAGTCTGGTCCACCAACCTTTAGAATAACTAGTCTGGCCCACCAACCTTTAGAATAACTAGTGTGGCCCACCAACCTTTAGAATAACTAGTCTGGCCCACCAACCTTTAGAATAACTAGTCTGGTCCACCAACCTTTAGAATAACTAGTCTGGCCCACCAACCTTTAGAATAACTAGTGTGGCCCACCAACCTTTAGAATAACTAGTCTGGCCCACCAACCTTTAGAATAACTAGTCTGGTCCACCAACCTTTAGAATAACTCGTCTGGCCCACCAACCTTTAAAATAACTAGTGTGGCCCACCAACCTTTAGAATAACTAGTCTGGCCCACCAACCTTTAAAATAACTAGTCTGGCCCACTAACCTTTAGAATAACTAGTCTGACCTGCTCATATATTTCCACTTTACCTCAGAACGATCAGCTGATCTTTAAAATACCCGCCACAGTCAGTCTGCTGAATGTAACCGACCTGAGCGTGTCAGAGAATCTGTTTGGGTACGCACTGGAGCACATCGATGGCAGAAAACATGGCATCACGTGGACCAACTGCGTCTATCGTCCTGAAACTGGTACCAATGCTTTTGTCGTTTTACCTAGCATTTGCAAGTTGTCTTTTGTCTAGAATCTTGTACCAATGCAATTGTCATTTGATTTATCTAGCATTAGCACGTTCTAATTTCTAGTAACTTATACTAATGTGACTGTCGTTATACTTAGCAACTTAACACTGTCTATTGTCTAGTTCTGGAATCGGCAACTTTCGGCTCGCACAAATATTAATAATTATTTTATTTTATTTTCAAAACTCATAAAAATATAGTTCTGCAACACTTGGTAATGAATTATATAATCATAAACATAAACAATAAACACTCGCTATTCTATTAGAATATTTATGTACTCCATATTTTTAATGTACTTCCTATTAAACTGATCATCCCGAATTGCAACATTCAACTTCATGGTGGATATCACAAAGAAACTAAACGAGCTAAATGTAAACTGCAAGGAATGGAAAACTCAGCCTATGCCTTGCCTGAGAAGTGGATGTTTCGAAAAAAATTACGTTTTTTTGTTGAAGACACGGAGAGCGGTAAATTACTTGATTTAAAAAAAAAAATCATTATTAGCACGAATTGCTTCAGCATTACAACAAACAAAAGGAAGGATGGATTCACTGAGAGATTTGAGCAATTCAAAACAAATTCAAGTACTCGGACGTTCATAGTAGACTCTCTCAACACAAAAACAAATTATATTAATTTTGAGCTATTTGGAATTGATGCTGGTTCGCTTCAAAGGATTTGAAAACGACTCATTTGTGGAGCGGAAAATTCACAGAACTCAAGAGCATGTAAAAATAGTTGAAGGTTCAGTAAAACATGTACGCTGCACAACTGGACAGCTCTAAAAGAAATATCGCGAGTTGAGGCATGGAATAGATTTGCAGAATGGTACAGTAACGTGGAGAAGTTGATATTCTGGAGTGCTGACGATCTTTAGGTCAACATATTTGTGCTAACAAGAGATCTCTTACATGAATATAATGAAAGTTAAGTAAGAAGCCAACTAACTCATAAAAATCTAGCGGCGTGCTCGAAACTTCCTAAAACAAGAAGTTATGAGCCAGATTTTAAAAAACTTTCAAACGGCATGCAAGGTAACTAATGTAAAAATTCAATGATTATGGTTATATTGAATGATTACTAATTTTATTATTCTAGAAGAGCTAGCTAAAATACTATAATATGTTTTGTGCGAAACGTGTATTTTTTAAAAATATGAATAAATATTATTTCATATTTAAATCTATTTATTTAAATTATATATATATATATATATATATATATATATATATATATATATATATATATATATATATATATATATATATATATATATATATATATATATATGTTACGGTCAAAGCCCGAAGTGCGGCCAAACCCCGGATTGGCCGGCCAATGCGCGGATTGGCCGGCTCTCTTGGCCAAAGCCCGAAGAACTTAGAACTAAGATCGTATTTCGTACATTGGCCGGCCAATGCGCGCACTGGCCGGGACGTACTGGCCAAAGTCCGAAGTACTTAAACTTGACAGCGTATTTTGTACATTGGCCGGCCAATGCGCGCATTGGCCGGGATGTCCTGGCCAATGTTGTATCTAGACTAAGTTGTAATCGCGTTTTAATTATTCTGGGTGCGGTTTCATTGTGAGTAACGTATTGTTTAGCTCTTGTTTGTATAGCATTCTATATGCAAGGCGACATGGGCCGTCAGACCAGGAGACAGACATAGCAGATGGCTGTCAAAAGAAAAAAAAAATGTAAATCCATGTTAGTTTAATATATGGGCTACAACTGTATGTGACAGCCTCCTCCATGATGACGAGGTGAGACAATCATCAAAGAACAAAAGACAGTCGGCGTCACCGACCACGTGCAACAAGACGGAACGTTCAAAAGACTTTTCCGCGTTCCTAGATGTTCAAAACATGATGATGACATGGATGTAAACAAATGAATCAGCTCATTGGGCTGAGAGTCTCAAATTCATTAAATTTATGAAAAATCGTTCTTTTCATCAAGGAATCCAACAATCACCATACGAAGCCTTGTTTGGATGCAAAGCAAAAGTGGGACTTAGCAATTCAAATCTACTAAGAGAGGCTCTCAATAAAATAGCTACTGAGGAAGATCTTGAGAACATTGAACAAGAAATGGAGGTTGCCATAAATGCAACTACATCCTCAGCTCACACATCTACTGCCGTGGCGGAACGTCCAGACCAGTTGCGTGACAATAATGTGGCCAACAGATTCTGTATAGTTTGTGAAAAACATTGTAGTGCAGCTCATTCTTGTGGATCCTGTGGCAAAGATGTCCATGCTATTTGTGGAGTACCCAATGAAGCAGACGAAGGGTACGGAGGGAACATTACCTGCAGATTGTGTCACAACAAACAAGACATCATGGAACACAGGTCAGCAGCTCATACTGGCTTGCAAACTCAAGGTGCTAAGATGCTTAAAACGTCAAATACAAAATTTAAAGATGGTGAAGTGGGTGACAATGTACACATCCGTGTTCCAGATGTTGACAGAGGTCGCGGTGATCCCCGAAGCGTGATTGCAGTTGTCATGAGCGTCGAGGGCGGTTTCTACAAATTAGGAACCGAACATGGTGTTCTAAAACAACTGTATGCTAGAAGTGAGTTTTCAATTCTTCACGAAAAACTGCTCTTATTGTCGTCAGTTGGCACTGAGGAGAAATCACTTCGAACCATCGCATCTTCATCGCATCTTCACAATCATTGACTGGGGGCCAAGGCTACACTCGCTGCAATTGCACAACCAAGTGTACAACAAATCGCTGCAAGTGTAAAAATAACAAGCTGCTATGTAATTCTAAATGCCATAAAAGTTCAACTTGTTGTAACAAATGATAATATTGATTGATTGAGACTATAGTACAATACAAAATTTGAATGTTTCTGTCATTTACTTTAATTAATAATCAATAAAGACTTAATTTCATGATCCTACCGGCATAAAAAAAAAAAAAATCTGCTCATGATCTTCTAATTAAGACTTTGGCCGGTCCACCATGGCCAGTCCGCGGACTGGCCGGCCAAAGGCCGAAATCAAGAGCTATTTCAGACTTTGGCCGGTCCACAATGGCCAGTCTGCGGATTGGCCGGCCAAAGGCCGAAATGAAGCAAAGTTTTGGACTTTGGCCGACCTATGGGAGGCGATATTGGCCAATGCGCGGATTGGCCGGCCAATCCTAGCATTGGCCGACTTCGGGTTTTGACCGTAACATATATATATATATATATATATATATATATATATATATATATATATATATATATACACCTAATCCTAAATATTGAAAGAAAATGTTAGTGGCTCTTTAAACACTGGTAAATTTTTGTAAATTGCATCATTTGGCTCTTCCGTCTCAAAAGGTTGTCGACCCCTGGTCTAGTTGATTGAAGTTTATGATCGTTGTCATTTCATTCATTCAGCGGTAATCTTTTAAGTTCAGAAAAGTGATTAGGACATCTCAGAACTGTCTATATCACGTGAACGTAGTTCTAGAAAAGTTATCAGGAAACCCTAAAACTGTCTATATGACGTGACCTCAGTTCCAGAAAAGCCCACCAAAGTGAGCGTCGTGTCGGGTCAGTCCTACGGTTCTATAACCGTCATCTGGGAGTCGAGTCAGTGCAGCAGGGAGACAAAAGTCTTCATCAGATACTACGAGATCTCCGTCTGTCGTCTGCAGCAAGATATTTTCCCCGACACCAACTGCACACGTAAGTCACGTTTGACGTCACTAGTTGGTCCCATCCAATGTGTCTGTAGTGTATCAAGTTGGTTCCATCCAATGTGTCTGTATCAAGTTGGTTCCATCCAATGTGTCTGTAGTGTATCAAGTTGGTTCCATCCAATGTGTCTGTAGTGTATTAAGTTGGTTCCATCCAATGTGTCTGTAGTGTATCAAGTTGGCTCCATCCAATGTGTCTGTATCAAGTTGGTTCCATCCAATGTGTCTGTAGTGTATTAAGTTGGTTCCATCCAATGTGTCTGTAGTGTATCAAGTTGGTTCCATCCAATGTGTCTGTAGTGTATCAAGTTGGTTCCATCCAATGTGTCTGTATCAAGTTGGTTCCATCCAATGTGTCTGTAGTGTATTAAGTTGGTTCCATCCAATGTGTCTGTAGTGTATCAAGTTGGTTCCATCCAATGTGTCTGTAGTGTATCAAGTTGGTTCCATCCAATGTGTCTGTAGTGTATCAAGTTGGTTCCATCCAATGTGTCTGTAGTGTATCAAGTTGGTTCCATCCAATGTGTCTGTAGGGTATCAAGTTGGTTCCATCCAATGTGTCTGTAGTGTATCAAGTTGGTTCCATCCAATGTGTCTGTAGTGTATCAAGTTGGTTCCATCCAATGTGTCTGTAGTGTATTAAGTTGGTTCCATCCAATGTGTCTGTAGTGTATCAAGTTGGTTCCATCCAATGTGTCTGTAGTGTATCAAGTTGGTTCCATCCAATGTGTCTGTAGTGTATCAAGTTGGTTCCATCCAATGTGTCTGTAGTGTATCAAATTGGTTCCATCCAATGTGTCTGTAGTGTATCAAGTTGGTTCCATCCAATTTGTCTGTAGTGTATCAAGTTGGTTCCATCCTATGTGTCTGTAGTGTATCAAGTTGGTTCCATCCAATGTGTCTGTAGTGTATCAAGTTGGTTCCATCCAATTTGTCTGTAGTGTATCAAGTTGGTTCCATCCTATGTGTCTGTAGTGTATCAAGTTGGTTCCATCCAATGTGTCTGTAGTGTATCAAGTTGGTTCCATCCAATGTGTCTGTAGTGTATCAAGTTGGTTCCATCCAATGTGTCTGTAGTGTATCAAGTTGGTTCCATCCAATTTGTCTGTAGTGTATCAAGTTAGTTCCAGCCACAACAACTATAACGTCCTCGACCTAGACGACGCCACGTTGTACCTGGTCTACATTAGAGCCGTCACTAATTTTACCAAAAGTCCGTTTTCTGACCCACAGACAGCTTTAACTCGAGGTAAGTGAATAAACATTGGCTGTTCTCTGTGGTCAACTCGTGTCTTTAGTCTGTGGTCAACTCGTGTCTTTAGTCTGTGGTCAACTCGTGCCTTTAGCCAGTGGTCAACTCGTGTCTTTAGTCTGTGGTTAACTCGTGTCATTAGCCAGTGGTCAACTCGTGTCTTTAGACTGTGGTCAACTCGTGTCATTAGCCAGTGGTCAACTCGTGTCTTTAGTATGTGGTCAACTCGTGTCTTTAGTCTGTGGTCAACTCGTGTCATTAGCCAGTGGTCAACTCGTGTCTTTAGTCTGTGGTCAACTCGTGTCATTAGCCAGTGGTCAACTCGTGTTTTTAGCCAGTGGTCAACTCGTGTCTTTAGCCAGTGGTCAACTCGTGTTTTTAGCCAGTGGTCAACTCGTGTCTTTAGTCTGTGGTCAACTCGTGTGTTTAGTCTGTGGTCAACTCGTGTCTTTAGCCAGTGGTCAACTCGTGTCTTTAGCCAGTGGTCAACTCGTGTCTTTAGCCAGTGGTCAACTCGTGTCTTCAGCCAGTGGTCAACTCGTGTCTTTAGTCTGTGGTCAACTCGTGTTTTTAGCCAGTGGTCAACTCGTGTCTTTAGTCTGTAGTCAACTCGTGTCTTTAGTCTGTAGTCAACTCGTGTCTTTAGTCTGTGGTCAACTCGTATCTTAAGTCTGTGGTCAATTCGTGTCTTTAGCCAGTGGTCAACTCGTGTCTTTAGCCTGTGGTCAACTCGTGTCTTTAGCCAGTGGTCAACTCGTGTCTTTAGTCTGTAGTCAACTCGTGTCTTTAGTCTGTGGTCAATTCGTGTCTTTAGCCAGTGGTCAACTCGTGTCTTTAGTCTGTGGTCAACTCGTGTCTTTAGTCAGTGGTCAACTCGTGTCTTTAGCCAGTGGTCAACTCGTGTCTTTAGTCTGTGGTCAACTCGTGTCTTTAGCCAGTGGTCAACTCGTGTCTTTAGTCTGTGGTCAACTCGTGTCATTAGCCAGTGGTCAACTCATGTCTTTATGCTGTGGTCAACTCGTGTCTTTAGTCTGTGGTCAACTCGTGTCTTTAGTTTGTGGTCAACACGCGTCTTTAGTCTGTGGTCAACTCGTGTCATTAGCCAGTGGTCAACTCGTGTCATTAGCCAGTGGTCAACTCGTGTCTTTAGTCTGTGGTCAACTCGTGTCATTAGTCTGTGGTCAACTCGTGTCATTAGCCAGTGGTCAACTCGTGTCTTTAGTCTGTGGTCAACTCGTGTCTTTAGTCTGTGGTCAACTCGTGTCTTTAGTCTGTGGTCAACTCGTGTCTTTAGTCTGTGGTCAACTCGTGTCATTAGCCAGTGGTCAACTCGTGTCTTTAGTCTGTGGTCAACTCGTGTCTTTAGTTTGTGGTCAACACGCGTCTTTAGTCTGTGGTCAACTCGTGTCTTTAGCCAGTAGTCAACTCGTGTCTTTAGTCTGTGGTCAACTCGTGTCTTTAGGCAGTGGTCAACTCATGTCTCTATGCTGTGGTCAACTCGTGTCATTAGCCAGTGGTCAACTCATGTCTTCTGTCTATCATCAACCCTTGATTATCTTGTCAAATGTCCATCTACAGCTGGTAAGATCAACAAATTTGCAGTTCTTATTCCTTTTATTTTCCCGGTAGTGGCGATGATTACAATGTGTGTAGGATGTTTCTTATGGTAAGTTGATCAGCTCAGAAAAAATGTGAAATATCAAGTTAAAATACAATACTTACAAATTATCTAAGTCGTGTTTTATATTCTAAAGTTTATAATAATCAGAGAACATTTACTGTCGGAATAAAGTTATCGCGGATTCAACATTGTTTATTTTTAGGTACATGTGTTCAACGGTCCACTAAACTGCCAGTTATCTAGGAGATATAGATGGTCAGATGTCCAGTTATCTAGGAGACCTAGATGGTCAGATGTCCAGTTATCTAGGAGACCTAGATGATCAGATGTCCAGTTATCTAGGAGACCTAGATGGTCAGATGTCCAGTTATCTAGGAGACCTAGATGGTCAGATGTCCAGTTATCTAGGAGACCTAGATGGTCAGATGTCCAGTTATCTAGGAGACCTAGATGGTCAGATGTCCAGTTATCTAGGAGACCTAGACGGTCAGATGTCCAGTTTTCTAGGAGACCTAGATGGTCAGATGTCCAGTTTTCTAGAGATTTATGATAGATGTAATTGGACCTAATGCTTGAATGAGGGCAACCTTTGATGAAATATTTAATTACTTTGTTCGCTATTAAATAAAATTGTGTGTGACTTAGCACTCAGGCCTGAATACTGTATACTTAATGTTGTGTCAATTAGCACCTAGATCTGTATCCTGTGCACATTATACGTGTCTGTTTTTTTTTTCTGTTTACGTTTTACGATGAATTTTGCACCCAATGCAAAGGGAGAAAACTGATTTATTATTCTAGTTTCACTTTAAACGAGTTGTCGCCAATTACTCAAATTCTATAAGTAACAATGAATGAAAAGAGGAAAAGATTTTGACAGAGGACAACAGCAGTGGCGTTACTGCAGAACCCCACATATATATATATATATATATATATATATATATATATATTCGGGGGGGGGATGTCTCATTCCGCCAGTGGACAACATTTAGTCGTTGAGTTTTAGACGTTTCTTCACTCTGTCACCCAACGATTGAATCTGTGTGCCCGAATGTTTTAACAATGCTCTCTACCTCGACCAGTGCCTACTTCCATCTACAAAATCTGACACAGTGTCATATCAGCCCATAACCCGTTTGCTGTATGTTTTATTCACAAGACCAATTAGACATAGCGTCACCCCGTTTTAGCTTGTCGCTAGGCAGACATTGCCTGTCAATAGCTGGTGCATGAAATGTGAAGTTACCTGACACCAACACACCTTACGTGGCTCGACTGCCTTAACAGGAACTCAAATAGCTGTTTCATTATCGGGTTTAAATCAAAACAGACCAGGAAAGAGACTCATAGTTGGAGGAAGGTTGTTTTTAAATGGACCCAATTTAAAGGTTTGTTAATAATAATATTTTTTTTTTTAAATTGTTATACCACATGTAGGCCTACTGTCATCTAGCAATTCGTTAGGTAAATCATTCTTTGTCCGAGGTAAATAAACCTATTGGCCTACATATCTTAAATAAATGCTCGTATAACTGAAAGTAGGCCAAAAGGATATACACTGCTAGAGATCAGATGGGTTGTATAAATGATATAGGTTATTCATAAAACATTAGGGAGAGTATAACAACATGTTTTTCACTTTATTTTAAAACGTCTTTCCTAGAAAAGTTCATAGACCCTAATGCGCAGTAGAAAATTTTCCAAACATAAAAATATACTTACCAGCTTATAATAGTAGTTATAGTTGGGTGGGGACGTCCCTTGAACTTATTAGAAATCTACGACACGAATGAAATAGAAGTCCAAGCAAGATTCAATAGATGTGTTCATTAGACTATTGAAACGCGTGATGTAAAATTGGAGAATTAAACTTACATTGTGGTTGATACTTTATTTTACAAGCGTTAATTCTCTCAACCTTGTGTTCTTTATGCCACTGTCAGTGAAAATAAATTAGGGAAAGATCTACGGCAAAAAAAAAGGTTACATAATGTTAGCTAAGTCGTTTAAAATCAGGTTTTTAAATCATTTTTTGTTTGCAAATTAATGCATGTGTTAATCGGGTTTTATTTTTATAATCCAATATCTGTTTAAAAAATGAATTACAAGTATTGCATGTTTATAAACAGTTGTTGCATAACAAGATAGAACTAACATGATGTCCTACTGTGTGATAGAGTCAGTATAGGACCAACATGATGTCTGTGTGCTAGAGTCAGTATAGAACCAACATGATGTCTGTGTGCTAGAGTCAGTATAGGACCAACATGATGTCCTACAGTGTGATATAGTAAATATAGGACCAACATGATTTCTGTGTGATAGAGTCAGTATAGGACCAACATGATGTCCTACTGTGTGATAGAGTCAGTATAGGACCAACATGATGTCTGTGTGCTAGAGTCAGTATAGGACCAACATGATGTCCTACTGTGTGATAGAGTCAGTATAGGACCAACATGATGTCTGTGTGCTAGAGTCAGTATAGGACCAACATGATGTCCTACTGTGTGATAGAGTCAGTATAGGACCAACAAGATGTCTGTGTGCTAGAGTCAGTATAGGACCAACATGATGTCTGTGTGCTAGAGTCAGTATAGGACCAACATAATGTCCTACAGTGTGATATAGTAAGTATAGGACCAACATGATTTCTGTGTGATATAGTAAGTATAGGACCAACATGATTTCTGTGTGATAGAGTAAGTATAGGACCAACATAATGTCCTACAGTGTGATATAGTAAGTATAGGACCAACATGATTTCTGTGTGATAGAGTCAGTATAGGACCAACATGATGTCCTACAGTGTGATATAGTAAGTATAGGACCAACATGATTTCTGTGTGAGTCAGTATAGGACCAACATGATGTCCTACAGTGTGATAGAGTCAGTATAGGACCAACATGATGTCTGTGTGCTAGAGTCAGTATAGGACCAACATGATGTACTATTGTGTGATAGAGTCAGTATAGGACCAACATGATGTCCTATTGTGTGATAGAGTCAGTATAGGACCAACATGATGTCCTACTGTGTGATAGAGTCAGTATGAAACCAACAGGATATTCGAGTGATAAAGCCCCAACGTGTATGTGTGTGCTACGATTGTTATCGAAAAGTTTGTCGGTGCCTTGTCACTAGATCAAGTGTGTTAACGGGGGGGGGGGGGGGTAGACACTAACACACGGCCCGTTGTGAAGAGGTGGTTGAGGACATGTTAAATCTATGGGAAAACTTTTAAAAGTAATAGGACAGTTCTCGTTAGCCTTCGTGTGACTAAAGTAAACTTCTAGGCCGGCTAACAAATGAGATGTGTTTGTGTTCTTAGATAAATACTTTACTTGGAAAATGAAAAACAAAATCTCGGGAATACAAACGTCTGTTCTGGATGTATCAGAATTCGTTAGACTGTAGGTTCTCTGTCTTCAATCACACTCTTGTTGGCTTTGTTGAATTTCGTTTAAATATGGCTTTTTGAATCACAAGAAGAAGCATAACGGGAACTTTAAGAAAATGGTTTAAAGTCAGATTACATAATGGAGGTTATAAAACCCTAGGCCTATCCAGAGTTTCTTCCAGGCATATCTTCGGGGAGGCTCCGCCCCCTCCCTCCCCGAATGAAATTGAATTTATATAGGAAATATATACTTTTAACAGGGTCGGCCCTCTCCCCCCCCCCCCCCCCCCCGGTAATTTTAGTCCGCCCCCCCCCCCCCGAAAATTTCAAGTGCACCCCCGGAGAAATAAGTCTGAAAGAAACACTGGGCCTATCTATGGTTATGACCAATTTTTACAAATTATTTCAGATGTTATTTTACTAAACCGCATCACACAAACATACACACTTACACACACAGTAACCTACATTGTACATATGAACAACCACCATAACTGTAAATACAGAAATTCGCTAGCACCCTGGAGTCTGATCTAGAAACATAACAAGCTAGTCAATCAAGGACGATACTGCCAGTAATAGTCAAATATGTGAAACATATAGTATACCTGGAGAAACGTTTTTATCCAGTTGACGGTTGTGTGACATTAAATTTGACCGTTGTGTGACATTAAAATTGATGGTTGTGTGATATTACAGTTGACGGTTGTGTGACATTAAAGTTAAAGTTGACGGTTGTGTGATATTAAAATTGATGGTTGTGTGACATTAAAGTTGACGGTTGTGTGACATTAAAGTTAAAGTTGACGGTTGTGTGATATTAAAATTGATGGTTGTGTGACATTAAAGTTGACGGTTGTGGGACATTAAAGTTGACGGTTGTGGGACATTAAAATTGACTGTAGTGTGACATTAAAGTTGACGGTTGTGGGACATTAAAATTGATGGTTGTGTGACATTAAAGTTGACGGTTGTGGGACATTAAAATTGATGGTTGTGTGACATTAAAGTTGATGGTTGTGGGACATTAAAGTTGACCTTTGTGTGACATTAAAGTTTACGGTTGTGTGACATTAAAGTTGACCTTTGTGTGACATTAAAGTTGATGGTTGTGTGACATTAAAAATGACAGTTGTGTGACATTAAAATTGACTGTTATGTGACATTAAAATTGATGGTTGTGGGACATTAAAATTGACAGTTGTGTGACATTAAAATTGACGGTTGTGTGACATTAAAGTTGACAGTTGTGTGACATTAAAATTGACTGTTCTGTGACATTAAAATTGACGGTTGTGTGACATTAAAATTGACTGTTGTGTGACATTAAAATTGACAGTTGCGTGACATTAAAGTTGACGGTTGTGTGACATTAAAATTGACAGTTGTGTGACATTAAAGTTGACAGTTGTGTGACATTTAAGTGGACAGAAAGGGACATTTGAGCTTTCAGTTGTGTGACAACTTTCAATTCATGAAATGACAACACAATGCATGTCATGTCAGCTGACAGGGGTTATTTTTAGACTGTAGACTGTCTACATGTGCGGACAAAAATTTGAGTATGGCACACGTTAATGTGTCAGAAACAAGTTCCTGAATGTGCAAGCCAATTCTAAAGACTACACCATACTAAGATCATAAAGTGATCTGTAGTTGGGCAGAACAAGAATTGCGGAATACTTGATCTTGTTTTCAGGTGTACTAACCATGCATGACCAACACAATAGAGTTCACAGCATGCAGCATGGTTGACGAAATCATGTAGTCTGGTGTCACACGCGAGAGAATTTCTGATAGAAAAATATTTTCTTCCTTGTTTCAAGAAGTGTGCAGTGGATTAAGCAATCCTCACTGTGTATCATTCAGACATCCTGTGACAAGATCTCTCAAGATACTTGATGTTAGGACTCAATGACTCGATGTTAGGACTCAATGACTCGATGTTAGGACTCAATGACTCGATGTTAGGACTCAATGACTCGATGTTAGGACTCAATAGACTCGATGTTAGGACTCAATGGACTCGATGTTAGGACAATGGACTCGATGTTAAGACTCAATGACTCAATGTTAGGACTCAATGGACTCGATGTTATGACTCAATGACTCGATGTTAGGACTCAATGACTCGATGTTAGGACTCAGTGACTCTATGTTAGGACTCAATAGACTCGATGTTAGGACTCAATGACTCGATGTTAGGACTCAATGAATCGATGTTAGGACTCAATGACTTGATGTAAGGACTCAATGACTCGATGTTAGGACAGTGACTCGATGTTATGACTCAATGACTCGATGTTAGGACTCAATGACTCGATGTTAGGACTCAATGACTCGATGTTAGGACTCAATGACTCGATGTTAGGACAATGGACTCGATGTTAAGACTCAATGACTCGATGTTAGGACTCAATGACTCGATGTTAGGACTCAATGACTCGATGTTAGGACTCAATGACTCGTTGTTAGGACTCAATGACTCGATGTTAGGACTCAATGACTCGATGTTAGGACTCAATAGACTCGATGTTAGGACTCAATGACTCGATGTTAGGACTCAATGACTCGATGTAAGGACTCAATGACTCGATGTTAGGATAATGACTCGATGTAAGGACTCAATGACTCGATGTTAGGACAATGACTCGATGTTAGGATAATGACTCGATGTTAGGACTCAATAGACTCGTTGTTAGGACTCAATGACTCGATGTTAGGACTCAATGACTCGATGTTAGGACTCAATAGACTCGATGTTAGGACTCAATGACTCGATGTTAGGACTCAATGACTCGATGTAAGGACTCAATGACTCGATGTTAGGATAATGACTCGATGTAAGGACTCAATGACTCGATGTTAGGATAATGACTCGATGTTAGGACTCAATAGACTCGATGTTAGGACTCAATGACTCGATGTTAGGACTCAATGACTCGATGTTAGGACTCAATGACTCGGTTAGGATAATGACTCGATGTTAGGACAATGACTCTATTCTCATGTTGTAATTGTTTTAATGCTCGAATGACAGGATCTTATTTGTGTGTACTTTGATCCATCTTCTGAACTAACCTGTCCGAAATTTAGACATTTTAACTAGAACGATTTTATATCAGGAAAGCTTGTTTCCTTCTGTGATTCGACTGTCCACACTCCGCGGAATTTGACCTCCACTGATTTTCACAATTTTATATTTTAAGACTTAGGACAGTTCCAGGCCAGATTTACGGCTTTCTGAATATGTGACCGGCACTCACTAGAAGATGGCTGTAGGGCTAATCGTGAGGAGATTCTCAAACCTCTTCTTATTTGTGATGACACTTTTATCCCTGGGCAAAGGACTTCTATTCAATGACGATGCACGTAGGTTTACACACACGTAGCCTATATCTATGTATTATATAGCCTATCTATGCATACATGTTTGTAGTTTTTAAGTAGACCTATTTGTCTATGTGTAGGTGTGTTTGAATGAATGTACTAAATATCCTTGCTATTAAATTATTAGTAATCTTAATGTTCTAAAATAAATTTTTAAACTTAAATAATAATTATAATGTAAAATTAACCTTCTACAAAAGTAACTAAAATTTAAGTTTTTCAAGTTCTAGCCAAATTTGACTAAAATGTGTGTTTTGTTTTAGCAAATTAACTTTAATGTTAACTTCTTTTTTTTAAAATTAATTTAAAAAGAAAGAGTAACGACGCATAGCCTATAAATTTAATAAAGTGTAAGCACAAGAGGCTATTCGACAAGAGCCTATTGTTTGATCACCAACGGCAAAAATAATCTTTTGTTCTCAGAGGTTCTGCCCAATGATCCATTCTTTTTTGTTGGCGAGACGATGAGTTTAACCTGTGATTTTACCAGTGATAGCTGGACAAACAACTCGGTTTTGTACTTTGTCAAAGACAAGGGAGGTGACCATACACCCGGATGTCCAGTTGATGGTAAGCAATAGAAGTCAATAGTTGAATTAGAGGCGTAACCAGGTTCTTTGGTGGGTGGGGGGAGAGGGGCTGGTCAAAATAGTTGAATTAGAGGCGTAACCAGGTTCTCTGGTGGGTGGGGGGGGGGAGAGGGCCTGGTCACAATAGTTGAATTAGAGGCGTAACCAGGTTCTCTGGTGGGTGGGGGAGAGGGGCTGGTCACAATAGTTGAATTAGAGGCGTAACCAGGTTCTCTGGTGGGTGGTGGGTGGGGGAGAGGGGCTGGTCACAATAGTTGAATTAGAGGCGTAACCAGGTTCTCTGGTGGGTGGGGGGAGAGGGGCTGGTCACAATAGTTGAATTAGAGGCGTAACCAGGTTCTCTGGTGGGTGGGGGGAGAGGGGCTGGTCACAATAGTTGAATTCAGTGGCATAATCAAGTTCTCTGGGTATGTGTATGTGGGGGAGGGGAGGCTGGTCATAATAGTTGAATTCAGTGGCGTAATCGGGTTCTCTTGGTAGGTGGGGGGGTGGTCACTGCTAAAAAATGTGACTTTTCCAAGCATTGTGTATGTACTAATTCACTATTGTGGAGGGCGATTGATCAAGTCAAACAAAAGGTTTTTCATACAAGATATTGCGCGTGCGGGGGGGGGGGGGGGCAACTTAAACACAAGATTTTCATAAAAGATATTGTTGCGGGGTGGGGGGGGGGGCAACATAAACAAAAGGTTTTCTTACAACACATTGCGGGGTGGGGGGCGATCAAATGGAACACAAGGTTTTCTTACAACACATTGCGGGGTGGGGGGCGATCAAATGGAACACAAGGTTTTCTTACAAGACATTGCGGGGTGGGGGGCGATCAAATGGAACACAAGGTTTTCTTACAAGACATTGCGGGGAGGGGCAACTTAAACATAGCGGAGTGGGTGAGGGGGGGGGGGACGATAAACTCAAACACAAGGTTTTTATACAACACAAAATACATGTCTCGCGTAAGTCTTCCAACACGCACAAGTTTAGTTGGAGCTCTTACGATTTCAGAGTTTGCTAAAGAGATAACCAAGAGAAGCGAGGGAAAATTTATACAGTTAGTTCGTCCAAATGTCACATTTGACGATGATGGGAAGTACTACTGTATAAAGTGTGACAATAAGTCCAACTCTTATGTTGTTGCTTGGCAAGTTCTTAAGGTTGACAGTAAGTTATTAAAATTTTGAATTTTTGATTTAGACATTACTTATGAACTATAATTAATCAATCATCTTTAGAGACCCAAATGCTAAGACTAAGACTAGGACTAGTACTACTAGATCTAGTACTAGGTATCTAGTACTAGAATCTGCTGTGTACTAGCCGTCCCGGCCAGGCTCCGCACTAGCTTTCGTGAAAAACACATCTGTTAAGGGCCGGGTCTCGTGTGTTTATTAAGCATCATATACCCGGCGATCAGCTTTTGGGAAATGTATTAAGTTTCCAATTAATTTCTATAACTATATTTATTATAAGATAAGCGAATAACGACATTTTGAAAAATTATAAATAACCCTAAACTAAACCTAACTCTTAACAGAACCCTAACCACACCCAACCACAACCAAAACCACAGACATAAACATAATCGAAAAGAGACATAGACATAAACCCTCTCTCCAAGCACTTCTAAGCCTTAAAAAACAACACATAAACACAGTCACAAACATAACCATAAACCCTCACTACATCAACAAACATAAGCATAAACACAAAACATAGACACAACACTAACTCATATTTGAATTATTAAATGTAATTTTAATTTTTAATACCATGTAAAAGGAAGTAAATTGTACAGACTTTTTAAGATAAAACTCATTTTTTTTATTCTAAAGGATAATAAATTTAGGGTGAAATTACTTTTTTAAATTCTTAAAAATTTTCTGGGGTTTTTTTGTGTGCACTTTATGTTTTTTAAAACGTAATTTGCAAAATGAACATGACACCAAATCATACACATGCATAGGCGTCTCAAGGCACCCTATTCGATTTTGTGAGCGATTGTAGTAGCCCGTTGTATCTTCTCCTAAGTACGATAAGACAAAGATTGCCCTACCCCTCCCCAGTACGAAAACGTCGCATTCGTGCTTACAGTGTCGTAAACTCACCGTCTTTTATTCATTCAAAACCTTTCAAAACACTGATACTCTCGTAACCTTTTAATACTCTAAAGCCATTTGTAACATTACCCCCTTTTCCCTCAATCAAATAGCATTAGTTAAAAATGTGCTAATTATATTATAGTCATCCATTAATAATGTCCATAACAGTGTATTTTTCTGTTCCCTAATATAGAGCAAAATTACTGACTCAGCCTGTTTATTTTACTAATGGTGTATTTTAGACTCGTGATCTCACTTTCCGATAAGATCACGTAAAAAAAAAACAGATGAAGATAATGAAACATTATTTTCATCTTTTTATTATTAGACATGTTATAAACGCCAAATTGCCCACCTGTCGAGGTGCTGGGTGACGCTCCTGACTCGATTTAATGAACGATTATAACAGCTCATCGAATCCATAGTACATCGCACTCTTTGAAATGAACGTATGTGTCATAGTGCTCATTGGGTAGCCTAGGGCGTCATATTGCTACCCTGCCGGGGTGCCAACTTTAATAATCACTAGTTGAAACTAACCTTAAAGTCTACCATACCAATATAACAACTCAAGTCCTAAACTGAACACTAATATCAAATCTTGTTGAAAGGTATAATCAAGGAACCTAAAATACACAAACTAACACTGAAACCGCAAACAGTAGGCCAAATTAGTAAATAAAGAGATTTACTAGAATTTAAACTTTTTAAAATATAACAATCTTTACAGACATTAAAGGGTACCGCTTTGCACCGCTGTTAAACACGCTGCGAAAATGGAAACAAATATCAAGGTATAGAGGACAAATACAGTATGTCCACTTTTTAGATCAAATCGATGTAAATTGATACTGATACTGTAAATAATACAAGCTACAAGAACACTTAAGTACAATGTCAGAAAAGTAAAATGCAAATATTTTATGAATGTTTAAACATAATATTTTGCACTATTTTAATATTGGAATGAGATTTACAAACTAATTTTTCTGGAGATTATGTTTTTTTTTGGACATACTGCGTTTGTCTTCTATACCATCGATATTATGGCCCAAATTGAAGTCGCCAATTCGGCCTATTATACAAATGTTTGAAAAATTGAAAACAATTTTATTAAAATTTTACTGAATTTAATCAGTGGCGGAACTAGAAAAAAGAGCCATCCCACAAAAAGTTTTTTTGGCCCCCCCCCCCCACCCCCACCCCCCCCCCCCCACTTATATATATATATATATATATATATATATATATATATATATATATATATATATATATATATATATATATATATTTATTTATTTATTTATTTATTTATATGTATTTATATATATATATATATATATATATATATATATATATATATAATATTTAAGCCGTTCTTTTAGGTGTGTTTTTTTTTTTAACTATCATCCCTTTATCTTCTTATCTACAGCTGTGCCAAAAATGATTGAAAACTTTTCTTGCTACTATTTAAACCGAGAAATGTTGGTATGCAACTGGAGTCTTGGCGTTTCATACAAATATAATGAATTATTAAATGTTTCCCTGTCATTTAAGTATGTTTCTTAAAGCATTTGTATAAAAATTCATTGTTTTATTTTAATTAATGGATTTAAAAATAGTTTATAGTAATTAAGTATATTGCAAACTAATTAAAATTGTATACATTTCCATCTGTTTATGATTATTTTCAAATATTAAAATTTTTAATTTAAACAATACAGTATCATTATTACTTTTACAGGTATAATACAAATTGGTCCACTCATGATGTTCCAGAAAAAACATCATGGTTCAGTAAAGGCTTTAGTGATCGTCCAGTGCAAATAAAGGTTGAAGTCAAACATAGAAACAAAACAGCAGTGTTTAAAAGAGAAATTGATCCAAGTGATTTGGGTAAGATTCATTGTAATTGGATGATTCTATCATTTTATAATGCAATGAGTGGATGGATTTTATTTATGTATGTCTTAATTAGCTAGTGTTGTTTGTAAATTTGATGATCTTGAAAGCCTATACACTACATACGTTTACAAATTTACCTTCTTCTTAAAGACATTTAAGGGAAATTTGATGAACGAAATGTGGAAATAAAAGGATTACACACTAACCAAGTGAAACCTGGAAAAATGACTGAGAAGATAGTATAAGAAACATGGGTTACCAATGTGTGCAGTTGGAAAGACCAACTATAAATGAGCTTTCTGACAAACTTTTGTCATCATTCTTGAAATATCAACAAAAAAAAAGTTTAGAAGCAACAAACATGATAGCAACTGTTACAACTGTAGCGTACAATACCAAAAGAAATTCGATTAGCTTGAGTGATTACATTTTTTCTTTGTGGTACTAGTACAGCTTAGGTTGGAAGACTTTAAGGTACTTTATATATGTTCAGCTCTTAATTACTGTAGATGTGTTCAATACCTAAAGAAAACTCCTGCATTGGTGTTGTTGAATTACACCTACAATAATGTGTCAACCCTCCAAACTGTGATGTTATAGACACAGTTACTGCATACAGATGAGACCCATGTTCATTTATGTTGATAATATTTAGTCAGCTATTTTAAGGCCATTAGACTGAATCTAAAACCAGTAGTGATATGTGGCTACTAAAATACAGTATTGTTTTCTTCAGTCAAGCCAACACCTGTAACTAACCTCAAGGCAAGACCAGTCAACAGTACATGTACTGAATTATCCTGGAACCATCCTAGTGGCATGCCCATGAATTTTACCTACATGTATGAACACAAAACACAATGGCAAACAGGTTTTTCTATAAAGGTGTGGTTGTCCAGAGAAAATAGTATCCTTGAAAAAACATATTTTGTTTGTTTTCATTTTGCAATATATGTTAATACTTTTTGCTTTATGTTTGAAGTATATGGATTTATTTGTTGAAATAATTTATAAATGAACTGTTTTTTAGAATTACACTGGAATTAATGCAAAGGAAAGTCGATATAGTACAATTCTCTGTAACCTGAAACCTTTCTCAAAATACACTGTCAATTTGACAGTTCATCCTTTGAATAAAAAAGGATTTCCAAGTGATTTGACATCAAACACATTTACTACTACTGAAGATGGTGAGCTAGATAAATATTTAATAGAAGAAAACAAATATATCTTTAAAAATTAAAAACCATTTTTGCAATATCTTTGATAATTATCAGAAATATTTTTTTTTTATTCTTACTACCTGAGTAATTTAACTTCCTATATGAAACATACATATATCATAATATAAAGTTTTGTTATTGTTGTCGGTTAACAATTTTTATGCATCTATAATATTTAAATTTTCTTTTCATTTTTAGTGCCATCATCAGCTCCTAAAATATGTATCGGCTGTTATTATGAAAGCAAGTGTTCTTGGGAAAGACTTGAAGATTGCTACACATTGGTTTGGAAAGAATTAGAAGAAGAATTAAAAAATGGCAATGTAAATTACAGCATTTCAGAAAGAAATCTCTCTATTAATAAAACAACCACGAACAACTGGGTGGAATTCTCTAAATCACAATTGCCAGCAAACCAGAGTCTACAATTTTGTCTTCAGGCTTACACACAGAAGGGATTTTCAAAAAATTGTTCAGACTTGATCATACCATCTAACATCCTGAGTGAGAATTAATTTTACAATAATAATAAAATCTTATGTTCCACTTTGTCCTATTCCCAGCTGTGTATTTGCTAAATCACACACACAGACATATATATATAAATATATATATAAATATATAAATTTATATATATATATATATATATATATATATATATATATATATATATATATATATATATATATATTTAAATTTATAAATATATGTATATATATATTTAAATTTATAAATATATTTATATGTATATATTTAAATTTAAAAATATATATAATATATATATATATATTTAAATTTATATATATATATATATAAATATAAATTATAAATAATTATTTATAACTTTTTATTTTTTCATCCAGTGCCAAATAACTCAGTGAAATTCGTTGTTGAGAGAAAGAATGAGTTTACTTATTACCTGCACTGGACAGATGATAAGTTGACATCTGGTAATGACTTTCAGTCTACAAGCTACACCATCATTTGGTGCTCCAATAACTGTCAGGTAAAGTCAAATTTTTTGTCTAGTTCCTAAATTCTTTTATTATGTAAAGCCAGTTGAGGAAATCAATAGTTTCTGAACCCGAAATTGTTTGAAAACAAATCAATTGAAACCTATTGTTTCCTGAAATTTAAGATGTGTCACTTAAAGATTTCCCTTGTTTTATACGACTAATTAGTTTTTTATTATTTATAAAAGTTCTGTATAAATTAACCAATAATTTCTCGACTTGTGATTGAATATTGTTGCACAGCTGGTGGAATGGCAAATTTTATCTAGCAATGAATCTTCCTTGGAGATAACTGTCAACAGTAGGTTTGGAAGAGATGTTAAAATAGGCATCAGCCAAAGTGTTGTAAGGAATGGAAATGTAGTGAGCAGAGGAATCTCCTGGGCTAGATGCATCTATGAATATTATCAGGGTAAACACATCTTTCTTGTTGGTTATTTTTTAATAGATTTTTTTAAAAAAGAAATTCAAATACAAAATACTTCATCTTTACATTATCCATATATTCTTATATATATTTGATGTTTAGGACCCAAACAACCATACTGGATTTTCAGTGAGCAAAAGCTGATAAGGAGGAATACAGAAGAATGTACAGCTGGGTATATCAAGGGATTTCATATTGAATTTTGTCCATCTACTAAGGGTAGTACATGTTCAGGTAAAACAAAACTTGTTTAAAACTAGATAAAACTTTGTCTTAGTCGAATTAAAATAAAGTCAAATGCAGTCTGCATTTAGGAAACTTGTCAGACTGCTTCATGTCAAATGATCAAATAAAATGCCCCTTCTGTTCATTTTTACTGTTGCTCCATTACTAATTTGGTAAAATTATTATTCATAATTCTCATGCTGGCTATTATTGTAAGTTCAGTGCTGATCAAAATTTGATTTGCAGGCCAGAAAAAATCTGTAAATGTTAGCAATACAGTGCTTGAGTACTCATGCAGGCTTTTGGCATCTGATAGGATTTTTGTAAATGTCACAGCCTTTACTTCAGCTGGCTATGGAGAATCACAGCTAGCAAATATCGAGTGTCAGGATCCATTAATATCTGAAGGTAAATAAAGGAGTTTGTAGAATGTAATTAGAATCTAAGCCTATACAGTAGTTTATATTTAAAATCCTTTTAAAATGTTTTGAATTTTCTTTCAGCAGAAGTCAACATGTGGTGGATTGTTATTTGTATATGTCTGGTAATTGCTCCTCTAATTTTATTTGCATGTGTTGTAAGGTAAGAATACATTTTTACAAATCTTTTATGTTAGCTAGTTTATAAATGATACATGACAAACTTTTAAAATTTTGGCAGGTGTAATGAGTAAATTTAAATAAAGAATAGTTCTCATTTATCAGTAGTAAAACTATGTAAACCTATAGAATCATCGTGTGAAGGATGTGATTGAGTGTGAAGGATGTGATTGATATGTCTTTATAGTATAGGCCAGGTACACAGTCAAAGCGGCCAGTCAACATTACCCCGACAAATCGACCCTGACAAAATGACCTAGTCAAAATAGCCTTTTGATGGGATAGATTTGACAGGGCTCTTATATCGGGGTGGTTTGATGGGGCCTTTTTGTCATTGGCCATTTTAACTCCACACGTATAGGCCCACCCAAAAACCAGCCTACACACAAATATCTGCTTTAATTACAGAGAAAAAAGATGCAGGTCAGATTAATATAACTATACATTTATTTATCTATAGGGTTTGTTATATAAGGAAAAAGAAAGTGATGAAAAGGTTTAATACAACCAGCTTAAGCCCTGAGGTAATTCTTAATTAAATTATATATTATTAAGATTAAATCAAGACCAGGCCATGTATCTCTATTTAGTGGGCTATACAAAATATTTAAGTTTAAACAAAAGGTCTCTGAAATTCTAAGAAAATAATAAGTGCTATTAATAGTTTTGTTTACTGGATTTCTAAAATTTTAAATAGTTTAAGCCTGATAAAACAGTTATTTCTACATGTTTAGGCCTATTGAAAGTTAATGTTTTATTGAGTTTTCATTGTTTTTCAATCATTTGTTGGAAGAAGTGGCTGCATTTTAAAAGAAAATTAATATAGTTAATTGTTGAATATTTTTCAATTTAAGAACATACTAATTTAATTTATTGCAAAGAAAAAGAGCAGATTTAGATGAATGACATACATATTTAATGACAAAACTCTTTGTGGGAATGGAACTTTTTTTTTATACATTAACAATTTCCTGTTGTAGATACTTTGTGGCCATAAAATTATTTATCTCAGAAGATCCACTCAATTTTTTGTAGGATTGGAATATATTTATTATTTATCTTACTCATTTGTTCTTAAAATTTGAAGAAATATATTTTTCTTTATAAGGATTTGGCAGTGTATTGAATTTGACAAATACAAATTTGTGTTGCAGGATGACTTTATGAAAAGTTTTAAAATAAAAAGCTCATCAGCTTCTTCCAATGAAGGTGAAAGTTCAATGAAACCTTTACTTAAATCTTTGGATAACACAAGGTCTTCTGATGACTGTAGCCTTGACCACAGTGTAGCCAGCAAAGGTTCGTCTTCTGCAGACAACACAGTTTTGATAGGGTCTAATGTTCATGCAGGACTAGAAAACAATGAAAGTGGCATAAGTTCCCAAAATGCACCTTCGGAAATAGTAGTCAATTCACAAGAAAACAGCAATGTCACATCTAATGATAACAAACGTAACATTGAAGTTAACAGTAGTAGAGAAGGGATGAAGAACAGCAGCAGTGGAGATATGTCAAGGGGTAATGATGATCTTCAAAATAGAAGTGGAAATAATTCACATGACAGTGCTGCTACTAGTGCAAGTAGTTGTGATTCTTATTGCAAAATGTTAAAATAAGGAAGAAACATTCTGAAAGACACAGAGTCCAGCAGTTTTATTGAATTCATTGTTTCACCTAAGTTAGAGGCCAACTATGTCTTCAAGGTTGTTATGAGTTTGCAGTTTTTGAATTCAATTAAAACTAAAGTGAGAAAACTATTCTCCTGTCTTCAATGACAAGACTGATTTTAAAAGATTTAACTTTATCAAGCTTGAATATAATTTATTTGCATGTAGTAACTTAAATACCTATATATTAATTGTGATGCAATAATTTTTTAAATTAATTATTGAAATAGCTCATAAGAATATAATACATTTTGTTGTTAGTATTAGAATTTATTCTTTTAAAAAGAATTATTGAAATAGCCTGTTTGGTGGTAGTATCATTATCTTTATAATTAAGGGATTATCCAGCCCCTTCTAGCATTTAAAGGTATTTTAAGGTAAATTTATCATTATTTTGATTACAAATTAAGGGCTCAAACCTGCTGGTGGTTTTGCTTTCTGGCAGCTTGTTTATAATTTGCTGTTTAATAATAATTTGTGTACATGAGATGGCTTAGCCATGCTGGTAGAGGGCTGGGCTGCTTGAAAGTCTTTGAGTTTGGAATTCCACTTAGCTACATGGGTATCTAACTGAGCTCAGGGAAAGTAAAGGTGGCTGGACACTGTATTTTCCCTTCTATTGAAAGCCAGGTGCTTAGGTGTAATTTAAAAAAAAAGTTGGTTAGGCTATAGCTTAATGTTAGTTAACAAATGTTAATAGTGTCAATATTTAAAAGAAAATCATTTGCCACACAATACCTAGGCAACTGAGAGTTCACTAGCACAGAAAATCAAATTGGTTTTGAATTCTTGAACTTACACCCTGCAAAGCCACATTTCCCATCACCAATTTCAGCCACAACAGTATGACCACATCTCATTAATCTTGGCCACATCTCATTAATCTTGGCCTCATCTCTTAAATCTCCACCACATCTCACTAATCTCAGCCACATCTCACTAATCTCAGCCACATCTCACTAATCTCAGCCACATCTTATTTATTTCCACCACATTTTACTAATCTCAACCGAACCTCAGGTATACAGGGTGACAGTTTGCATAAATCCATTTTGATTATTTATTACATTGTTATGTGTGTTATTATTAATGCAAATAACACATGGTTTCATATTCATTTACCAGTCATTGTTATTATTACTATGTTTTTTCAAACAATTAATATATAAGGTGAAGTATGGGCCCATTGATCTCATTATGGTACTGTATGTATGTTGAACTAGAGTTTTTGTGTAAAAACATTTCTTTTGATGTTAATAGATTTTTTTCTCTACAGATGTTCATTAACTATTTATATTAAATACTTTACAAAGTAAAAAATTTCGCAGTGTTTTTAATTTTTTAAATATTGCATTGCTTTGATTGTTTTAATGCATTGAAATGAACTTTTAATTTTTTAAAAATATCAGTTAGAAATGTATATTTTATATTCTTCCTTATAGATAATATATTTTTAAAATTATAACAATTGTTTAAATTTTTAAAATTGTTTCTGTACAATATTTCTAATGTTTAAATCTCATGATTGAAAATATAAAAAATCTATAGGCTTAGCCCACTAAAGTAGTAAAGTAAAGCATGAATAATAATGACACAGAATCAATATTAAAATGGTTTAATTAATACATATTATAGCAAAGATTTACAGATCCTCAGATAAACTAATGAACAGTGCCATAAGTTGGAGACATCATCAAAAGTCTGTGTGATTATCAAAAACATTCTCCATTTTTTATTTATATAATAAAATATTTGCTTTTACTAATGAAGATGAAAACACCATCTCATGTTTATTTCTTGGTGTTTACTATTGTTATTGTGTTCCACTAATACACAATGTAAGATGTGCTATATGATATCACTGAGAGTGACTTGAAGGCCAAAAGATATACCGATTATTATAATTATATTTTCTACAATAACAAACACAATATAGAAAAAAGAAGCTTATTTCTACAATATATTTAAGTCAATTACATGTTTAGACTATTATGTAAAATGTTTATTTATATTATTATGTAAAAAGATTATTTAGATTATTGTGTAAAAAGTTTAGTTATATTGTTATGTAAATATTGTATTGTACAGCAGAATTAAAGCAGATACAACACCACAATTTTACTAAAGCAGTACTAGATTAATAATAATGGTTATATTGAAAATACAAAGTGATTAAATATACAAGATATATATTTTTGTAAGTCTAACTTGGCAGCAATTAACATACATAACTAAAAATATTTGTATTTTTAATCTGTTACAGCAAATCTAATATAAACAATACAAGTATGGCTCTAATGTTTAAGAAATGAATTAAGCAGCTCAGCAGTGCAGCTTTTTCTTTTTAATATTCCCTCACTGCATATTTTCATGCAGCTTTTTTTCTAGATTCAAATTTCACCCACAAGCCATCCTTTGCCTTCAGCTGAAATTTGGTTATAGTAACAGGGTACACAGACTTGGTGCACCTCACTGGGACATAGGACTGTAAGATTGTTGCCAAGGTGATCTTCAACTCCAGCTGTGCCAGTCGCATTCCAACACAGCCTCTTGGACCCTGACCAAAAGGCAAATAGGTATAAGGGTGTCTGGATTCTTTGTTCTCTGGTGTAAACCTTTCTGGGATAAATTTGTCGGGTTCCGGCCAAATGTCGGGGTCAGTGTGCAATGCATACACTGGAATCATCACTGTCATACCTTTAGGGATATGAATGCCTTGAATATTTATGTCATCAATGGCATTTCTGTTTAAGAAGACGCCTGTTGGAAACATCCTCAAAGTTTCATTGGTACACATTTCAAGATAGGTTAATTCCTGGACAGTTTCATAACTTGGTAATTTTTGTCCACATTTTTCATCTATCTGGTCTAGGACTTTCTGGCAAATTTCAGGATGTATTGCCAGGAGAAACAAGGTGAAGGATAAACTTGCTGCCAGTGAATCATAGCCACCAAGAATAAAAATTAGTGACTGGCCCTGAAAGTAAAAATAGTTACAACAATTAACAATTGCTATTTAATAATACTTATTACATTGACTAAACTATAAGCTTCTGAGGTATTTAAATGTAATATAACTAAAAACAGGTTATGTTAAACAGTTAACATACATGTATTTCAACTCTTGTAAGTTCTTTTTCTTGTTCAACATCAGTTTTTTCAGCATTCATGATCAGATCAAGGAAGTCATTTACTTTGCCATTAAGTCCATCTCTTTTCCTTTCTTCTATAGCTGTATCCACTACTTGTGCAAAATAATCCATGGATTTTTTGGGGAAAAATGGTAAACCCATTTTTGAAAAAAGCCTTCCCAAAAATGGGGACATAAAAGCAAATGAAAAAAGCACTGGGTTGGGGTTCAGGATCTTGTAAGCTTCAGTAGCAAACCTAGAGTTTGGATTTTTAAGTGTATTGAGATCTAGACCAAAAGCTGTGCTGGCTATCACATCTAAGGTAAACGCTGAAATAAACTCTCTCAGCTCAACCTCCTGGCCTGACTCCTGTAGTGTATGGATGTGTTCTAGCAGTATCTTGGCATTGCGTTCAATATGATGGGACATAACTTTGATACGACTGGAGCTGAAAGTTGGACTAACTAGTTTTCTCACTTGTTTCCAATGCTCCCCTTTAAGAAAGAGTATGCTCTCTTTTAAAGGAGATTCAACAGAGAAGAAATCATTCCGATCAACAAAGTTGTTGAAATTTTTCACAAGAATCTCTTTAATAATATCCGGATCTCTGGCAATCATAACTTGAGTTCTACAGCCATACCAGCCATACACCTAAAGCAATAAGGCAAGTTGTTTTAATCATGTATATATGAAATGAGAAAATACTCTATTAATCAGTGATTAACATTTATTTAAATTGACAATACAAAAATCATTATTTCAAGTAGGTTAATTAACTAAAAAGTGTATTGTGTACACTTGATTTCAACACTTGTTGAATGCTAGAGTAATTCTCTACTTCACTAGTATTTGATCTTACAACTTTTAAAGGCCTGTTGAAAAAACATCCATAATTTTGTGCTTTGTTTACTAAAATTTACAACATTTACCTTTTTATCTTGAAATTGTTTATAAAAGATCCTCTGCACTTCAAAAATTCCATGTTTTATATCAAGCATGAAATTACCAAGGAGCCAAGATGGAGGAGGTGTGGCTATGCCCATTTTTTGAAAGCTGCTGTGGTCTGGTCCTGTTACTTTGATCATACAGATCAGAGCCAGGACGATCACGATGATGACAAGTAGTATAGAGAGAGCATCCATTCTTGTGAACACTGTCAAGGGGAAATGTCAGAATATTCTTTACAAAATAGAAATAGAATAATTATTCAAATGATAATATAATTATAATACCGGTTACATTACTTTGCACAGATATAGATCTATATGATTTAATGCATTTACAGATGACAGTGAAGTTTTTGGACTATCTGCATCTACATTTTTCAGGATTGACTACTTAAGTCAAGCATTAAGATTAAGTGTATGTCATAATAAACTATAGATTGCTCCATCTCAAAACTAAAATTCTCCATTTGTCTTGGTGAATTCAGTAGGAACTTTAGTGTGAATTGCACACTGCATTAGCCTGTTATGTAAATAGAAATTGTTTGGAACTGAGTTAAATTTATAAAGAACAGAATTTTTTTGTGTTTGCTTAACTTGACATCAGTCATTAAAAAATAATTGAAACACAGACGCGTTGCGAGGGCGGGCAGGTGTGCAGACCGCACTGGGTGACACTGTATAGGGGGGGGGGGGGTGACACCATGGCAAAATATTGCAAAATGTACAGAAGAAAAATGCTTTTTGCCAGTTCCATTTATAATTAATTAAAGTTAAATAGTCGTTCAAATCGACAATTATTACAAGAGGGTGGAGGTGACACCATGACGTAAACGTACTAACTATAGAGACAACAATGCTACATCCTACTATATCATTAACAAACTATAGATAAACATCGTTACTATTAAGTCTGTAGTGATTAAAGCTTATACACATACATGTACGCATGTGTGGCATACATTTAAATTATAGGCCTATGTAGGCTGACAGACAAACACACACACACACACACATATATATATATATATATATATATATATATATATATATATATATATATATATATATATATACTTTGTTTCTTGGTGGGGATGGGGCCACCATAAAATGCCGCACTGGGTGACACCCAACCTAGCGACGCCACTGTTTAAACATTAAAACATTCAATACTAAAAGAGGAGTTCATTAAGACACAATAAGTTTGTCAAATCAACTGGTGTTTATTTATTAGGCCTACTGTTTATTTTCAAATTTTAAGAGCACTTAAATAAAATGCATTAAGAAAAGAAAACTTATTACTTTCATATTTTGGTGCATTTAAAAGCGTGTTGTAGGCTAATAGATTTAAGCTTTTCTTATGTACACGCTTCAGTATTAAATCTTTCATTTTTGAAATACATTTGATTAGATTACATTAGTAATAATACTAATCGTTAGTATCATTATTACTAGCAAAAATACAAATATTATTGATAAAATGGACTAAATTTAAAAACAATAATAACTAAAGAAATGTAATTACCAATTACAAAAGCTATTTTACACAAATGTTCACGATTTATTTAGTATTTTCCTTTCAAAACCCCAATAGCAATAGAACTACAAGAAAAATAGAAATAAATAGTGTATTCTTAGTTCGCTGCTTTCACTTGCACGCAGCTGGCAACATCAGCATAAAAAATCTGCACGGCCTGATAGACTTTTAACACAAAGCTAGCTCGTACTTTGGCATTACTTTTTTTAGGAGGTCAGATAAAAATGTTAAATATTTGTCATAGATTTGTTGACATTCTTATTTGGCTCAAATTTTTTTAGTCTCTTTACATCTTGTAAATTGCTTATCATCCACTGGCCTGTGTTTACCTTGTCGTAGTTTCGATTCAATAACCCCTGTGTGTCATTCTTAAATCGTAAGCTAGCATAAGAAAATTATTCTTTTTGCAAAACAAATCTAAGTAGGTCACGAAATGCAAGTAACGCAAAATCAATCCGGTGAAAGGGGAAAGCATGAAAAAATATTTTTCTTCGTCCAGTTGATTGAACGTATTTAGATTAAGATTCGCATAAAAATAGACATTTTTTACGGCACTACACAACACATTAAATCGTTAGATGTCTGCTTACTTAAGCCTATTAAAAAATGTGTTCTTTGATTCAATGAAAGTAATTTGGCATTACACCCTAACCTTGCGGAAAAGAACATCTTTATTTTTCTTTATCATCAATAATTATAGACAGTCGTTTGGTAATGGTATAGACCCGTCTTAGGGGTCGTCCATAAATGACGTCACACTCATGGGGGGAGGGGGGTCCGTAGTTTTGTGACGGTGTGTGATGAGGGGGAGGGGCGGTCAGATGATGTGACGTCATTTTATTTTCATTATGAGAAAGCAATGTTCGAAAACGAGTTTTAGCCGTTATGTCAAGTTTTAGAAAACGAGTTTAATAAATTGTAATAGGAAATTATCAAAATACTTTATGTTGACAGAGTTCTTACACCAATTTTGAGGGGGGGGGGGGGTGTAGGCTGAGGTGTGACGTCATTATAGGGGGGAGGGTTTGGCTTTTTGTGACGACGTGTGACGGAGGGAAGGGGGGGGGGAGATAAAAATCGTCCAAAAAAGCGTGACGTCATTTATGGATGACCCCTTTATAGTAATATTATCGCCTCTTGGCATTCATTACTCTGTTTTAGATATCAGTCTGTTTATGTGATCAATTTTGTATTTGAAAACATTATTTTTAAACTGAAAATTAGCATGCAGCTTTAAACACATTTTAGTTGGGAAAACCTATTTTAGATATCTTCCCATGTTCGTGTTTGTGTGTATGTGCGGGTGTGTGAAACGAAAATTTTAGTACCGCTTTAGTTAGGTCACGAAATTACCGGCGTACGGAATATATATATTGACCGACTCATAAAGATAATGGACGAAGATTTCAAACCAACCAAATGATTTATGAAACTTGCAAAAACCGTGGCAGAAATTCAAAAAGGAAACCTACAACTGCTAGATTGTCTAGAAAGATTATCAAACAAAGAAGAGATATAACTAGAGTTTCTTCCAGGCACCTCTTTGCCCCCCCCCCCCCCCACACACACACCCAGCCGAAGAAAGTCTACCGCCGCCCCACCGAACGAAATCTCGTTTATATACACAATATATACTTTTACCGGTGTCTGTCGCCCCCCCCCCCAGGAAAATTTAGACTCTCCCCCCCCCAATATAAAATGCCCCCCCCCCCCCCTCCCCGGAGAAAAACAAACACTGAATATAACCAAACCAGAAAAGGGAAAAGACCAAACGGCAGGGTGAGATAGATGTAGACGGGACAGACACACAGCAACTGGAATTGTTCAGACGTTGGAGATAGCAGATAGACCTGAGTGGAACAGAAGTAAAGCTGGCCCAAGCCCTTCATTAGAAAAAAAAAAGAGCCATTGTCGTGTTATATGTCCCGTATATACATTTTAGCAAAAACACAGGACTAGTTCTATTCTTGATCTGTAGAACTGCTTAAGGCACAGATTTCCTTTAAAAATATAATTCCTTGATAATGGATCATACATCATTAGCATCTTTAGCATCGTCGTTGTCACGGTCTCCTGCCTCTCTTGTTAGTTTCCCAGCTCTTATGTTTACATAACTCTAATGATACCTTCTGATAGGAAAATGTTTTATTTTTCATTGGTCGGCATTGCAGGATTTTTTTGACATCCACCCCACAGCTTCACAAATATATTTTAGGAATCTCTGTACTTTTCTCTGACACTGTTTTTTTGGTATTGCCTATTTTCTTCAGTTTCTGTGACAGGCGTTTTTTAAATTGACAGGGTAGGATGATGCACCTGTTGTCTAGCACCTAACATGTCCGGCTTGGTTGGGCCTGCAAGCGATCCTTCCTCTTGTGAAGCTGTGAGGGTCCTCAAGGCAAGCTGTGATCACACCACGACAAAGTGTGTGCATCGGCTGACGTGATAGTGAACGGTACATATTTTAATAATGGTCCTATTTGTTTTTACGACCATTCTATGACACTGAATTTTATTTATAGAATAAAGGGGGGCCTGTAGAATGTAGGGATGGGTAAAAAAAAGTCATATTGAGATTTATTGGCATAAGATATTAATTATCTATTTATTTCTTGTAACAAATTCAATATTTAATGTTCTACTATACTGACAATTGCAACAGTGCTAAAGCATTTTGTTATTAGCGGTCTGTTTTTTCATGGCATTTATACTAGGGCCTAAACGCCATTTTGCAAATATTTGATAGTTGATCTTCTTTGGCACATTCTTGTTCTAAATTTCCATTAAAAACTGGCATAAGATATTAATTATCTATTTATTTCTTGTAACAAATTCAATATTTAATGTTCTACTATACTGACAATTGTAACAGTGCTAAAGCATTTTGTTATTAGCGGTCTGTTTTTTCATGGCATTTATACTAGGGCCTAAACGCCATTTTGCAAATATTTGATAGTTGATAAACTTCTTTGGCACATTCTTGTTCTAAATTTCCATTAAAAACTGGCATATTTACTTTTAACTGCCCCAAACCGGAACAGATGGTAGCCTTGATATTTATAGGCTGTTGCTCGTAATTTTTAAACTCCACTAATTTCAAGTACAATTATACCACAAAAAAACAGGATTTTTTTCCCTACACATTGATACCAATTTTGTGTCTCTAGCTTAATTAGGAGCTAAGATATGGCCTTTTAAAAATTTGTGGGCGTGGCTAAAACAGCTTAGACCTTCGTCATTCAAGTCAATGTTACATAAGCAAAAAAGTTGGCACCGATGGTTTTTTCATTGCATCATCACGGATTCGCATTTTTCGAAAAATTAAAAAATTATAATTTTATTGCATCATTCGGGATTCGCATTTTTTTAAAAACTAAAAAATTATAATCAAGCTTAAAGTCTAAGTTATTATACTGGACTGGATGTGATTTGAATGAGTAATTTAATGCCATTCATATATTATTATTGACTTATTACTCCGTGTAAAAAAAAATAATGTAGATCTAGGTTTAAACTAAACTAGATCTAGTTATTGTAAATCGATTTATTATTATTTAATACTGTTACTACTATTATTGTATAATAGAAATGCATAAGCACATATTACTGCACACGTTCTTTATATCTAATTGTAATGAACGATATTACTTGGGTAGATGAAGTAGAGTAGAGTACATACATACACACACTTCATGATAAATGGAAGTAGCAATTGGTTGCCTTTACTTTCTCTCTCAGCCCCCCCCCCCCCCCCACTTACTTGATATTCCGTGTCTATATTAGGAGGCCATAATAAAATTATAGAACAAAATAAAAAGAAAACAGCTTTCAAAGTGTGTACCAGTGTTTATTACTACTAAACTATGCAATGTAAATTATTAGAATGTGAGAAACACAGTATTAAAATACAGTAATCAGATTACCACATGAATTTTAATTTTGTCTAATAAGATAGAAACATTTAGGAGAATGGCAAAGTAAAAAAAAAGATTGTTTGCACTAATTTAAAAATATGTTTATCAGAGCAAAGAAATAAACTACATAGTGACAACCTCAATTTAGCCCTTGTATAATCTACGACCAACACAGTACTGTAAAAAAGTTACATAATCATAATTAGTGTGAAGAAACAAATCTACAGTACAAGAAATCAGCCTCGTCTCATTAAGATCTCTTAAGAAGAAAAGTAGTATTAATTATCAAGGAATAAACATTAAAATATTGGTTTAAAGTATAATTACTAGTAAATCTAACCCATTCATTGAATGTATGCTGGAAAAAAAAAATAGGTGTCGAAAAACTTCTTGGACCACTTTAGTCTCTTAGTGTTAAAACAATTTTCTTAAGTATCAATTATAATTAATCTTTAGATACAATTAGCACATCTGAGGAAAAAAATATATTTTAAAAAGCGTTAGTACTTGTGTGATAAATTAGTTTGGACCAACATTTTTGAAGCACATTAACTACTGATTCTAGGATTATCTAGCTGATTTCAATTACCCTGAAAAATAAGTTAAGTAATTAATTAAAATGTATTTTTTTTTACACTATGAAAACTAAACTTAATTATAAACATTGTTAGTATTAGTTTTCAAAATAAGTTTACAATTCACAGCAATCATTTTTTCAGTAACAATTTACAAAAACACTAATGTTTAAAAAATAAAGCTCATTTGTATACTAAAAATGAAAGAAGTACTCTGAAATTCTGATAAGCTATTATTCAGAAAGAAAAACAAGACTCCTACAAAGTTAACAACCAGTGATTCTGCCAGATGACTGAAATCCTCAGCATTATCCTCATCCTCTGCCCAGTAGCTTATGGTGTAAAGAGCAGACTTTTATTTTGTTGCTGGCAGCCTTTTAATAGTCCTTCCACTGTATTGCGACACACCCTGATCACCTTGCTCCCACTTATGAGTCAGCTGAACACCAATCAGATTTCCCATCAGATACCTCTCCAGCTGTCGCACCAAGAAAGGTTCAGTAGAAGTCAACAACGCTTCCATGACTTTAAGAAACAGAGTACATTTGATCGCCACATTGCGGTCTTGTAACTGAGCTTTATCGAAGGACCAGAAATTAACTTCCCAATCAGCCTGAGTGCTTGCGGCGCTGCACGAGAACCCCAGGCTTCTTGAGATCTGCAAGCAGTTGAATGTAGACTTAAGTTATGTCCCAGCAGCCACATCATTCTCCATGAAAACTACCTGAAAAGAGAAGGGCAAATGGAATTAGAATTTAGCAGACCATTTCACAAAATATATATCTAGCACAACATATTGCAAAGTAAATAAAATAAATTTAAAAATTAAAAATAAATTCAGTCTCCATACTTACTAAATGTACTTCCACCTGAGACATTGGTTGAACATAGAAAGGGCTGTACACAAGTTCCACCAACCTATTCCAGTCACAAGCCTCTGTTCTCCTCAGCCGCTTTATCTCAGCCATCAAGTTTCTGATTGCATTAGCAATCCTCTTTACACATTGTTGGTCTTGCCTATAAGTAAATAAGATGTACAAAGAAAACAAATTAACCCAAGTTGTAGGCACACAAGTCTAGAAATAAATTAATATTAATAAAATTATCAAGTACTAAAATTGTCCTTAATAAAGAGGTCTAAGGGCATAGGGCTTTATAAAATTATATAGGCCTAGTTATTAAGTTATAGATATATACATAGGCCTAGGCCCTATATTAATTTAAATATATAGGCCTACTTGATGGAGAATTATACCTGAACTAGTCTAAATCTATTCTTAACCATTTAACAATGTCTCACTATTTTTACAAGTTCTAGATCTAGACTAGTACTTGTATGAAATAGAATCTAAGAATAGTTTCGGCAAAAATAAAAACATTGCTGTAACTGAAAACGTGTAAAAATATAACTAAAAAATTAATGTAGAGTCCTAATCAAACATAATGATTAAATGATTATGTTCATCTAAATGTACTGCATTAAAATAAATAGGCTAATTAGTAATTACTGAAATGGTATAGGCCTAGGCCTACTTAATACTACTTATATTAGGCCTACTTAACTTAGTACTTAATGCATAATTAGATGAACACTTAGGCCCTATAAATTAATTTAACTTATCTAGATTCTAGAATCTAGATCTAAATAAAAATTAGTGTTGGCCCTATTAGATTAATTAAATTAGATCTAGATTCTAGATCTAGAATTAATTAAACTAGATCTAGGCCTAACTAAAGCTAGATTATTTTTTACTTTTTACTAGATCTAAATCTAGTCTGATCTAGATCTAGATCTAGATCTAGTTACTATAGATCAATAGATCTAGATCTAGAATCTAGTAATCTGGATTCGTTTTTCTAAATCCAGAATTTATTAGGCTATCTAGAATTCTAGATCCAGGTCTACTTGTGTAAAAATCTTAAAATGAAATTAATGTAGAGTCTAGATCTAGACCTAATTGTCCTAATCAACCGTAATAATTTGGTAAATGTAGGCTACTTAATCTAAATTCTAAATTATTAATATTAGTAGGCTAATACTAATATCATAGATATCAAGTAATGCAATATTTTAATAACGTAAGAATCACAGGAAATTTGGCGCGAAATTAAGGCTCTCTCGCGGCCAGCCTTCCTAGGCTTGCGGACCATTGAAATCGTAATTTTAAAATATAGGTTAATTTTACAATACCCAATTATTACTATTTTCAACATTTAGGCATCTATTTCTAAATATTAAGTACTTTATTATTTATAGACTCTTACCTTATATTTCAGCACATTGCTCCTCTGTAAGATAATAAACGAGATCCAAAAATTAAAATAGGCTTTGAATCTAAATCCTCTTGAGGTTTAAACAAAGATGCGCACGGCGACATGCGTAGATCAGGTGTGCTGTGGTAGAGCCTTAAGCGACACGGCCTTAATTAGCAATGGTCAACCGGAAACATGGAATTTAGGTTCAAGGTACAGCCATGATTACCATGGCAACAAAGGTCACGGCGCAAGCTGCGCAACTCGCTATCTAAATGTACTGCATTAAAATAAATAGGCTAATTAGTAATTACTGAAATGGTATAGGCCTAGGCCTACTTAATACTACTTATATTAGGCCTACTTAACTTAGTACTTAATGCATAATTAGATGAACACTTAGGCCCTATAAATTAATTTAACTTATCTAGATTCTAGAATCTAGATCTAAATAAAAATTAGTGTTGGCCCTATTAGATTAATTAAATTAGATCTAGATTCTAGATCTAGAATTAATTAAACTAGATCTAGGCCTAACTAAAGCTAGATTATTTTTTACTTTTTACTAGATCTAAATCTAGTCTGATCTAGATCTAGATCTAGATCTAGTTACTATAGATCAATAGATCTAGATCTAGAATCTAGTAATCTGGATTCGTTTTTCTAAATCCAGAATTTATTAGGCTATCTAGAATTCTAGATCCAGGTCTACTTGTGTAAAAATCTTAAAATGAAATTAATGTAGAGTCTAGATCTAGACCTAATTGTCCTAATCAACCGTAATAATTTGGTAAATGTAGGCTACTTAATCTAAATTCTAAATTATTAATATTAGTAGGCTAATACTAATATCATAGATATCAAGTAATGCAATATTTTAATAACGTAAGAATCACAGGAAATTTGGCGCGAAATTAAGGCTCTCTCGCGGCCAGCCTTCCTAGGCTTGCGGACCATTGAAATCGTAATTTTAAAATATAGGTTAATTTTACAATACCCAATTATTACTATTTTCAACATTTAGGCATCTATTTCTAAATATTAAGTACTTTATTATTTATAGACTCTTACCTTATATTTCAGCACATTGCTCCTCTGTAAGATAATAAACGAGATCCAAAAATTAAAATAGGCTTTGAATCTAAATCCTCTTGAGGTTTAAACAAAGATGCGCACGGCGACATGCGTAGATCAGGTGTGCTGTGGTAGAGCCTTAAGCGACACGGCCTTAATTAGCAATGGTCAACCGGAAACATGGAATTTAGGTTCAAGGTACAGCCATGATTACCATGGCAACAAAGGTCACGGCGCAAGCTGCGCAACTCGCTAATATTTAGGCCAGTAAACAATCCAATAACCTTATCGCGCCTGCGCGCTACCCATATACCCGCTCGCGGCTTGATTTTTACAGGTCCATACGATGTTAGAGTTAGGGGTGGGGGGTAGGCAGCAGGGAGGGCCATCGTTTCCTTTCACTGATTGTGCGCTATAACACCTGGTCTATTTTTGAGTGGCATTGGTTGGTTTTGTGTGTGTGTGAATGGCGCTGGTTGGTCTATTTTTTAAATGCTGAATATAATGTTATATAAAGGTTTTACTGAGGTATTATGTATTATGTACAGAAACAAATGTATCTTATCCTCTATCACTCATTTGAAATGCTTTGTAAATTGTGACTACATTTTTTTTCTCCATGAAGTTGAAAAGGTTTAAGTATCTAATTATTACCCGTGGGTAAGGTTTTTTAGGAAATCTTCGAGCAGCCTCAAAACAGCAGACCTAATCAGAGTGTGAGAGCCATATAGTCTATACTAAAGCTCAATTTGTCCCGCTCCGGTCTCGCGACAAAAAAATAAATAAATAATGGCCTGTATAAGGACCCGATGTTTTGTTTTTAACCATTGTCCGTTTTACTACTTAATTACATTCTATTCTAATTTTATCAGTAATGGAAACGCGGGTTTTTATGATCTGAATTGTATTATCTATTACGTTTCAACAGTTGGTAAATATTAGAATGAAAGAGATGAAGATAGAACAGAGCTAAAATAAAAAGAGCTAAATAGATCTGAAGAAAAATCAGCCTCTACAAAACTTATATTTATTATTGTTTTGCTGCCTGTGACGGATTGTTGTCAGACAAACAGTAGCATTCTATCTACACACTAAAATAGGCCGTCTTGTCTTGTGTATGAGTAGTTGATAAAACCATAGTAACAACGACAATAATTAATTATTATCATAATGGAAAGAATAAACATTGTAGGCCTACTTTTACACTATGAAACTTATATATTAACTTACAATTCCTATAAACTAAGATAGAAAATTAAATGTTGAATCTTTGTTCCTAATCAAATCTCTTTTGCAGTAGTAAAATAAAAATAGGCCAAAAAACGCAAAGTTACACTTAATCTCTGGTTAAAAAAAAAACACCCACCAATACTCTAAGTTACACTTAGTGGAAATTAGCGTAGGTGGGTGGGTGGGGGGGGGGGGGTGTCGTGGTGGGGGTTAAAATATTTACAATGAAATTTAAAAACTTGTTATTTTAAAGGATGTGTATGGTCTATTGATACTTAACTATGAAGTCGATGAAAATGTATTTTTATTTTATTTATTTATTTAATTTGAAAAATGTTAAAAACATTTGATAATCACACTGTTTTATTTAAATAGTAACAAAGAAATACAACTAAACAATTCTAAATTATTTGAACTGTACAAAAACTTCAAAAACTGTACAAGAACGGCATCTGGTGATAGCCTTTTGTTTTTAAGCTGAATTCTCTGGAAGAGAATATGCCAAATATTTCTCTTTTATGTTTATTTTTTTAATGCCTTTAAAATAAAAATATACAAAAACTGAAAAGTATCTTAAGTGTTTGACCTTTTATGGTAGAGTTATATCGTTGAATGTATGCGAACTCGACGTTTACTAGGAACTGGGTCCAGGAACACGGAGTTACAGTTAGCTGTGTTGCCATTGGTTGGTGTTTGGATGAACCTGTGACCCTAGTGTATTTATAGTTGTTGACTCACATGTTGGCTGATTGGTGAACTCAATGCACTTACACATCTTGATGTAAAAGTGTCTGTTTTACATGAACTGAATGAAGAAAAATCAGATTTTGGCTTAAATTACTTTATTGTAGCTTAAAGGTTAGCACCTCTTTTGAAATGTAATATAGGAAACCTTCTATCTGGTTGCGTCGAATTTTAACGATTAATACAGACCAAAACAACCTAGCGAGCTTGATCTTGTGAAAAGCATTTAAAAACTTAAGACTTAAACAAGACTAGGTCAAGTCTTGGGAATAGTAAAATACATTTACGACACGTAAGTGGAAACTGTCGCCCATACCAAAAGGAATGTGCTCTGGTCTAGACTGAAACAGAAGTAAAAATAATAAATCATTCGAAAATGGCCATAGTAAAACTTGTGTTATAGACCCATAATTTTAGATCGGCAGGCATACGTGATAACAGACACATAAAGCACCAAATATGGGGTGTGTTAGCACTTTGGTCCATAATCTCCCCTAGAATATCAGATAATATCGATCGAACGCTATCGTTGCCCATTGCAATGGTACTGTGTAATATAAAATTGTGTATTAAATAGTATGGAGGCCTGTATACATTCTCTGAAGTAGCCTCCCATATCTTCCTTTCTGGTGTAGTAACCTTTCACTAATAAACACTGGGAGGGAAAATATCTTTCCTTCTGGTGTAGTAACCTTTTACTAGTAAACATTGGGAGGGAAAATATCTTCCCTTCTGGTGTAGTAACCTTTCACTAGTAAACATTGGGAGGGAAAATATCTTCCTTTCTGGTGTAGTAACATTTCACTAGTAAACATTGGGGAGGGAAAATATCTTCCTTTCTGGTGTAGTAACCTTTCACGAGCAAACATTGGGAGGGAAAATATTACACGTTAGAGATCTGGGGTCGGCGTAGTGGAGCCGGTAAAGTCTCGAGTTCGAACCTTTTGGCAGATGAGGCTCGTTAGCTGGGGGCAGCCACTCTTCTAGGAGAGACAAAGTCAGCATAGTGCTACTAATGGGTGGTAAAACGCTGACAGCGACCAAGTCTTCGGATTTATGAGAGCCTACAGCTGAGTGGAGAGTTTGGTTTGCTCTAGGGTCTAAACAACATTAGCTAAGATATTATTATTCTAAATGATGCATCATGTCCAAAAACTGTTTAATTGAAACAACTTTAATCCTTTAGCAAAGCAGAAATGGTTTAACATATAAAATACAACAGTAAATATAAAGGTTCTGATTACATTATCATTTTACATTATGTAATCATTTTTGTTCTGTATTCATTCAATAATAGCCTAAAAATGTGTTGTAAATAGGTGCATTACACACTCACTATGTGCCAATTGTTAATCATGGTATAGAAAGAAAATTATTAGATTATCGGGTTACAAAAAGCTCGTGCGGCGTCAATTCGGCCAATGACGAAACGGCCCCGTCAAAACGACCCCGACAAAACGACCCCGTCAAAACGACCCCGTCAAATCGGCCCCGTCAAAAGGGCCAGCGACATATGGACCCCGTCATATAGGCTCCCGACAAATAGGCTCCCGTCATTTAGGCTACCGACAAATAGGCTCCCGTTATATAGGCTCCCGACAAAAGGGCTCCAGTCAATAAGGCTCCTGACAAATAGGCTCCCGTCATTTTGGCTCCCGACAATTAGGCTCCCGTCATTTAGTTTTTTCCACAAAACGGCCCCCGTCATTACGACTACCGACAAATAGGCTCCCGCCATTTAGTTTCTCCACAAAACGGCCCCCGTCATTACGACTCCCGACAAATAGGCTAGCGTCATTTTGGCTCCCGACAAAAAGGCTCCTGTCAATTTGGCTCCAGACAAAAGGACCACTGACACAGTGGCGTAGCTACCGTAAAGCTAGCGTAAGCAAGGCATGGGGGCCCAAGGCACATAGGGGCCCTTTTCCCTCATAAAAAATTAAAACTTTTACAATGGAATTTTAATATTTGTTACATATAAATAATTTTAAAAAAGAAAAAGGTTAAAAGGGGGGGGGGAGTGTTTCGGCAGTGGGATTCAGTGTTTGTGGGTCAAACAGAGCCCAATCGTTATAATAACACTACAGGCTATATCACTTTGTCGTGCAAGACATTGAGAGAATCAGCCTATAAATAAACTTTTTAGCAGTAGTAGGCAAGCATAATAATATAGTATAAATACAAAATCAGGACATATAAAATATAAAATGTTGCCTTCAGAATATTTATATATTAAAAAATATCCATCGTAAGTAGAAGTTGATCTCTTCGTTTAACTCCTCTGTAGCCTAACGAAGAGGCGTAGCGAAGGCGAGGCGGGGGGTGCAGACCGCAACGGGTGACACCATTTAGGGGGGGGGGTGACACCAAAGGCAAAAAATTGTAAAATTTATAGAATGAAATGCCATTTTCCAGATCCATTAGTTAAAGTTAAATAGTCTTCTAAGTACAAATCGAAAATTATATCAAGAGGGGGGGAGGGGGGGGTGTGACACCACGACGTAAACGTAAACTATAAAGAAAACAATGCTACATCCAACTGTATTATAAACAGACTGTAGATAAACATCGTTACTATTAAGTCAGCAGTGATTAAAGCTTAAACACGTACGTGTACCAGTATGTGGCATATATATAAATTTTAGGCCTATGTAGGCCGACACACACACACACACACACACACATATATATATATATATATATATATATATATATATATATATATATATATATATATATATATATATATATATATATATATATATATATGTGCATTGTTTCCTGGGAGGGGGTGACAATACGAAGTGCCGCACCGGGTGAGACCCGACCTAGCGACGCCACTGGCCTAACGGCTGACGAAGGGGCCCACTGATAATTTTTGCATAGGGGCCCAAAAATCCTAGCTACGCCCCTGCACTGACAATACCGTTTCTGTAGAGACTAAGTCTCCCGGCAAAGCGGTCTCATTGAATATGACATCTGCCAGTGGGACCCCTTCATCAATATTCTTTAGATTTAGCTTATCCAACACTCTTATGTAATACAACGTATGCATCTCTTGTTCGGCAGGCCTTATTTTTATATTAGTTTATCTATTATAAAATATAGTATGTTTTAATTTAAGGGTCATCTATCTATAACATTCATAATTGAGTCGGTTATAGGCTGTTCCAACTCATTGTGTGGGGAGAAGGGTCCACGCTGTGCCTTCCTAACTGCAATATGCTTGTACAGGGGCGTAGCGAGGGGGGGGGGGGCGGGGGGTGCGGACCGCACCGGGTGACACCATATAGGGGGGTGACACAAAGGCAAAAAATAGCAAAATATATAGAGAAAAAGTTGAGGGGGTGGGGGTGCAAATCGAAAGTTTGGGTGGGGGGGGGTGCAAATCGAAAACTTGAAAGTTTGTCCCCGGGAAGGGTCGCAACGCCTCTGTGGGGGGGGGGGGGGTGACACCATTAAGTGCTGCACCGGGTGACACCCGACCTCGCTACGCCACTGTGCTTGTAGGTTATCAAAACAAAATGCTGTTATCATGTTAACATCATGTATATCATACATTTACACTTCTGTGCTCGCTTTTAAGCAACAGATCTTTTCTGTTGTAAATTAAACATTATCAAAACTTTAGAATTGGTAGAATTTAGCTGTTAAGGGCATGGGCGGGTGATGAGTACCTACTTCCTTATTTCCGAGTCTAAAGATGTAATACTTGGCTAATAGTTATAACTCAAAGAGTTAAGCATAAAAATATTTTTTTTAATTTTTTAAATCTTCCGTTGCCATGGTGACGGCGGCCATATTGGATTTTATTGACGATTTTTAAATGGAAATAACTCAAAAATGGTTTGTTCAAATTTCATGAAAACTTAATATAGTCTGCAGACACATGTGTTTAAGACTTCTGATAGATTACATTTTCAAAAAAGAAAATAGTTTTTTTTTTACTTTTTTTTTAAAAACATTACTGTAAAAATTTCATTATTTCGTCCAATTTTTTCACTATTTCAACAACAAAATTTTTTTTTTTACAAAAATTCCAAAAGTGTTCTATCAGTTTTCTTTGAACATATATAAAGAGTAACTGGAGCAAATTTAGTTCAGTTCTGATAATTATTAACAAAGTTATTTCAACAATTGTACATAAAAACATCAAACTGAGAAAAACGCAAAAAACTAACAAAAAGTTGCAAAAAATGAACATTTATCGCTGTATGTCACTAAAATCGACCACATTTATAGCCTGAAGTATGGTGCTGCTGAATATATTCCTTCTGAGCTTGTTCGGCTGTTAGTTTTCTTTTTTTCTGGCGCTGTTTGTTTTACCTAGAGTTGTAGTAAAGCTGTTGTCATGGCGTCTTTTTTCGCGTCTTCACTGAGTCTTCGACTATGGTTTCCTTCTTTTGACAGCAATGCCATAGCATGCCTGGGCCCAAAATTGAATTATGCTATCACAGAAACAGCAGTATATTTTGCATGGTCTCATGTCTAAAGCCAATTATGATAAGACGTCTTTGTTTATTGTGAAAGGCCTTGTTCTGGATTCTTTTGCAGTTGTATACTTACGGTTTACAACATTTTTATTACTGCCACACCATGCTTGAAGCAAACCCTTTACACTTTTTTCATCAATAGTAGCCACTACATCACAGTGTGCGAGGAGATATATTGATAACATCAAGAAGCAAATCACAGTCGACAATAATTCTGCATGGCTGTGGTTTACAATTAGTACTACTAGTACTAGATGTAACAGTGCTTTCTTCTGTCTGTAAAAACTGTGTCTTACATTGCCGCAGTTTCTTAGTAAATGTGCATATTACATCTGCACCAGTGCTTGTCTGAATAGTGCTAGATTTAGTAGAGGTAGCTGCAATCAGTTGCATTCGGACGAGCCCTAGCTTTAGTAAATTAGTTAGATGTGTGTATCTATTTTTAGCGAGTATTTTGTTCTACGCATTATCGAAAGAGAAACAAATTAAATCGTCTCACTGCTTATGATAATTCACACAAACTAATCTAAACTGTTAATAGTATATTTAATTGAAATAATTATATGTTAAAATAATGTAAGTATTTTACAGAAGCTTAGAGAAACAAAACTAGATCAAACTTAGCAACGCGCTGAAACTAAGGGAATGTTTACTCCCGAAGCGAAACGACCAATCGCTAACTAGCTTCCGCCGTCGTATGCCAATGAAAAAATTGAGGTCAAAAATTTGCATACCGGAAAAACCCGACTGAGTAAAATAAACAACTTTATGACGTAGAAAAATAATCACATTAAAATATGTATTTTGATTGGTCATTTAATTTTAGAACAAATAAAGAAAGGAGGTCACGGCCTTTCCATTGATATGAAACACATTAGGTTTCCGCGAAGCCTAATAGTACTTTTCTAGGTCGAAAAATTGCTTTTTTTACCAAAAAATTAAACAAAAGACCATGTACACACTACATTGAACCCGGTTTTTCATAATTAAATACTGTTTTTAGGGTCATAACAATGTCATTTTTAGATTCAACGATGGTTATTCTGTATAGATCAAGTAAAAGTGGGAAATCGATGATTTAGTGGATTTATGACGAAAAGTACACCCGCCCATGCCCTTAAGGGCTCGATTTGTTTGTGAATTAATGTTGATTCATGAAAAAATAATTTCATTCGGGCATTAAAAAGAGGTTATGGTGGTATTGGAGGTAGGACACAATGGTTACTTTTATGCCAATAGTGGTCATATAATTCATTTTTCTGGAGCCAATATGTCGGGAGTCATTTTGTCAAAAGCCTATATGTCGGGAGCCCAATTGCCGGGAGCCAAAATGTCGTGAGCCCATTTGCCGGGAGCCCATTTGTCTTTAGCCCTTATGTCGGGAGCCAATATGTCGGGAGCCGCTTTGTCGGGAGCCAATATGTCCTGAGCCTATTTGTCAGGGGTTAATATGTCGGGAGTCCATTTGTCGGGAGCCTAAATATCGGGAGCCCATTTGTCGGGAGCCTATATGTCGCAAGTCAATATGACGGGAGCCCATTTGACGGGAGCCAATAAGTCGGGGCCCTTTTGACGGGGCTATTTTGACGGGGTCGGTTTGTCGGGAGTCGATTTGACGGGGTCGTATTAACGGGGCCGTTTTGACGGGGCCGTTTTGTCCCGGGCCGTTTTGACAGGGCACCAAAAAGCTAAAACCTATCAACTCTTTCAATACTGAATAGGCAAAATAGAATAGCTCTCCTGCGAGCATAGCTGGTTTGACAACGCTCTTTAGGCAGATAGCAAACAGATTTGTTGCACTAAAGTTGCCAGCCGCCCAGCCTGGGACCTCAACTCGTGCATTTAACTTTATAAAGATGTTACAGTGTTAGATCACGCCGCATATTACTGTGTATGAACATCAATTCATATATCCAACAGCTGGTGAACAGATACATAATGATGTGATGACAGGGCTAAAGTAAGACGAGCTAACAGTTATGAAGTAAGTTGCCATGTACAGCCAACACGTTGATTTGTTTACAGTACTTAAGGGTTGTCGTAATTAAATGGTGACACATCCCATAACAACATGACATTCTACATGGTGACACATCCCATACCAACATGACATCTACATGGAGACACATCCCATACCAACATGACATTCTACATTCCATTTGGTGACTTATACACGTGGAGACACTACAGTATAACAATGATGTTTTGTCTAGTGACAATCACCATACAAGCATGCGAACCCATTTGGTGACACCAACTTTTGCTAACGTGCTGAGAAGAAAGTAAAATACATCTAATGTACATATATTTGAACACTCTAAAACCTAGGGATATTTGTAAGAATTACATTTTAAAGCTATAAATATTTATTTCAGTTTTACAGTATAAACTTTGTATCGTGTTGTTGCCTAACGTATTTGATGAGAGCAGAAATCATACTACAATTAAACTATAGTCACAATAAAACCTACTCGAGTAATTTAAACAATTTTATGAAAACTACTACTGCAACATATCACAAAATATTAATTTAAGTAATCGTAAAAAAAGAAATCCGATTTTTAAGAAATCATCTGTAAAACATCAGTCTAAACTGATGTTTTTACCTCAGTCAAAAGTGATGTTTTACATCAGTCAAAACTGATGTATTTACATCGGTAAAACCGACGTTTTTACATCCGTCAAAACTGATGCTTTTTCATCAGTCAAAAAAAGACGTTAGTTTTTATTTCATTTTCTGGCAGCGAACTTGATCCATAAGCCATCATTTGCTCTAACTCCCATTTTACTCAGCTGGATCGGGTACACAGATTTACTACAGCGTGTTGGGGTAAACTTCTGAAAGATTGTAGCTAAGGCTATTTTTATCTCCAGGAGAGCCAGCCTCATGCCAATACAATTTCTTGGCCCTTGGCCGAAAGGAAGATGCGCATATGGATGGCGAGATTCTTTGTTTTCTGGCGTAAATCTCTTTGGGTCAAATTTGTCCGGTTCCGGCCAGATTTCCGGGTCGGTGTGGATAGCGTAGACAGGGACGGCAACGACCATGTCCTTAGGGAACTTCACACCTTGGACCTCCGTATCCTTCACACAGACGCGGTTGATTAAAAACGCTGGTGGCGCCAGTCGAATCGATTCGTTGATGCACATGTCTAGGTATGCCAGCGACTGGACGTTATCGTAATTTGGTGAGGTTTGACCACATTTTTCGTCTATCTCTTCCTGCACACGTTTGCAGCAGTCTGGGTGCATGGCGATGAAGAACAAGGTGAAGGACAATACCGTGGAAACAGTGTCGTACCCGGCAAAGATAAAAATTAGAGCTTGGCCCTAAAAGTAGAAAATAATATTATTAAAATGTCGTTTATTATTTGTATAGCTCTCATTGTTCTATATTTGAATAAAGTGTTACGTAAACCAGTACACACGTAAAAATAAGCATCAGTAAATTAACATAGAAAATTCAAAACATTTTCTTACATAAAGTTCTGATCTTGTCAATTCTTTGTGAGGTTCTCCGGTTTCTTTCTCGGCGTTCATTACCAGATCTAGAAAATCGTTGACTTTCCCTTCTAATCCGTCTCTCTTTCTTTCCTCTATTGCCGCCTCCACAACTTTGACGAAATATTGGAGGGATTTTTGTGGTAGTATTGAGAGGCCAAGCCGTGAAAATAATTTGGTTAGAGAGGGAATCAGTAATATTAAACTAAACAGTAGAGGGTTTGGATTAATTACTTTTTTGGCCTCAGTTGCAAAAGGATTGTTTGGGTTTTTGAGTGTGTTAATCTCTAACCCAAAGCCAGTGCTGGCAATGACGTCAAGAGTGAAAGCAGATAAAAAATCTCTAGCCTCAACTTCTGTGCCAGATTCTTGTAGAGCCTGGAGATTTTCTAACATTATCTTCGTATTTCTTTCAATATGATGCGCCATTTTCTTGAGTCTGCTTGAACTGAAAGTTGGGGTCACGATGTTTCTGACATGTTTCCAGTGCTCGCCCTTTAGGTTGAGCAGATTATCGCTAAAAGGTGGATCAACCTCAAATAGAGAATGGCGATCAACGAAACAATTGAAATTTTTGACAAATATATCTTTGACCATATCAAGATCTTTGACGATCATAGTTGGCCTTCTAGAGTCGTACCATCCGTACACCTGAGGAACATTGCAATAAATATTCATGTTCAAACAATTAATATAGGAGGCAGCAATATATTATATTTTAATACTCATTATCCCAATTCAGATATGATTTTAAATGTGGATTTCTTTAGGGTAAAGACAAAAATTGCTACAAGAAAGTCCCCCCCCCCCTCTTGTAACCATAATTACATTAAAATCTAACATGTCTTTCAACTATTTTTTAACACACAGAAGGCACAGCTATAATACATTTACCTTAGTGCATGTGGTTACTTTGGTCGAAGGAAATTTCAGTGAACAAAAATTAAAATATATTTCATAATATTTTCAAACTCCCAATCTTACCTTTTTATCAATGTATTGATTGTAGAAAACTTTCTGTACTTCAAAAATACCATATTTGAATACATTCCCAAAGTTCCCTATGATGGGGTTGGGTGCGGGGTTGTCTATTCCCATCTTTTTAAACGTGTTGTGTGTGGCTGACATGTAACGTACAAACATGTAAGCCAGCAGGGCCAATATGGCGGCAATTATTGCTAGAGTTGTCAGCATTTTCTGAAAAGTTAAAGACAATACCATTTTGTTAATGATTGAATATAAGTACACTGCATTAAGTCGTTTAAGAAATCATTGGAAAATAGAACCTCTACGAATTCAAGGATAACATTTTTAAATACGTTATTTTAAATGAAACTTAAACTTGCAGACCCATTCATGATAAGAGCAATACATGTTTAAGGGGTCGTGCACATACAACATGAAGTGGGTAAAGAGGTGGTCCATCAAATTGTTAAATCGTGTTTAAATGGAATATTGTGGTAATGGTGGTTATATACAAGAATGTTATATAAAATTGTCGTTGATTCTCTTTATTTTTTATAAATTGTTTTTTTTTTGCAAAATCTGCCAATTTTTCTTTTTTTTTCTTCTTATTTTTCTCTTTTTTTTTAAATACATTTCTGAGTTAACACACTAAAAAGGCTATGCATTTGCTGGCAATGAAGATGTAAGCGAAGTTTAGTCTTGAATGTTGTGACTCTGATACGCTATTGTTATTATTTGTACAAAAAATTGTGTTGCCGAGTATTATTGTTATACAATGAATATTAATATTCTATGGTCATTGGATAATTAGGGTTTTATTTGTGCTTATGTGCCCATGATCATTAATAAAATATATTACATGTTTCAATAAATACTTCAGTTAATAACGTTTATAACTCGTAACAATATAGCCTGTTATTATAAATATCGAAAATCACTTTCACATTCTAGTTGCATGCTAATTTATTTTTGAAAAAGCTGTATACGTACTTTATGGTTTATTGTAGATTCTAAGTGATGTTGTGTTGGACCCTCTGTCGAAGCTTCTTCTGGTTCAGGCGACACGCTTCAGTAGGTTCTGTTCTTAACGGTGGTTTTTAACACCGTGTTTCATGGAGTGGAGAGTCACAGGATCTTTTTAAAGTCACATCTTGGCCCACTGCCAGTGTACACAACCAATAATTCACAATGTAACACTATAGAAATATAGACCAAAGGACGATGTTACAGATACTAGATCTATTTGGTATCTGAAAAAAAAACCCACGTCAACGGTCCCCAAACGAATCATTATCTATTATTTAGTAGTTTGGTCAGTTTATTCATACGTCTTCTTAGGGTAGCCGTACTTAATTAAATGATATAGTAATCGTAGAAGATGAAGGCTTAAATAATTATTTTCTCTAAATTAATGTGATTCCCATTATTATTTGTTTCAACTGACATTGACAGGGTTTGCGAAGATGAATCCGATCATTACTGTTGACATGGACAAAATAGCCTTCGTCTTTCTATACGTTTCTTCCTAATAGAAGCCCCACACTTATAAAAAATATTTAAATTAAATGTTATTTTTAAAAAAATGAAGTGTAACAACATTTACGAATTAATAAAAATGGCAAAGAGGAGAAACGTGCTATTGGATTAAGACAAGATGTCGCACTTTTAGGCCTACTACGTTGTGTGATTTTTCTTTCCAATATAATGTAAACCTACTCAAAACAAATGCTATTATTGTTATCTCATTTCATTTGCATGTAAAGAACTTTTAAACCGAATTATTGCCTAAAGTCAGAAAGTAGCCTGCAGACTAGTGATAACCATGATTTCATGGTTTGATTCAGTTTAATTTTATCTTATATGCTTATACATGGGAATCGTTTGAATTTGCCAATAGTATGCTATATTTTATAATTTGATCATTCTTAAGGCCGAACCAAGTTCGTGGGCAAACAAAACAATAGCAGCTGTCAAGTAGGCTTTTGAAGAAGGAACTGGTAACCAGTATTCAAATTATATAGCCCATAACTTTCTGCGCTGCGCGATTGTGTCGTTAGTTTTGGGTGTTGAAGCGTATCACGTGTGAGCTGTTTCAATAGAAACTGTTTATTATAATAAACACAGTAATACATACTTAAAATTCTCTTATCTGCTACGAGCTCGGTCTGTATGCTATATTATATTTATATGGGTAGTAGAGCGCATTGCTCAGTGGCGTAGCTACTATAAAGCTAACTAAAGCAAGGCACAGGGGCCCTGGAAAACAGGAGCACTTTTTCATTTTTAGAACATCAAAACTTTCACAATGGAATTTTAATATTTGTTTTATATAAATAATTTAAAAAACAACAACAACAACAACAACGGAAATCTAGCTTATTTTCTACTATAGAAATAATTAAAACTTCCAAAAAGGCCCTCCAGCCTATTCTTACTGTCAGAGTTTCTTCCAGCCCCCCCCCCCCCTCCCCATGAAGAAACTCTACCCCCCTCCCGCGAACGAAATGAAGTTATATAGAAAACATAATTTTACCAGTGTACCCCCCCCCCCCCGAACGAAATGAATTTATATAGAAAACATACTTTTACCAGTGTCCCCCTCCCCGGGAAATGTTGTCCCTTCCCCGAAAATATCAAGTGCCCCGCGGAAAAAAAGACAAGAAGAATCACTGCTTAATGTACAGGCAGTTGTCGCATTGTCATGTGAGCCACTCAGAAAATTAGCCTACAAATAAACTTGAACTTTGACTTTTTTGTTAAATTGGAATCAGCTGACTGGGAAATTCTCCATCCCCACAGAGCTGCACCTCGCACCTATCTGCCCTCTTTAAATTCCTTCCGACTAAACATCCATGATAACAATTGAGCCATTGAAAAAAAAAATAACAACCGTGGACAGTATTTTCATAAAAATAAAAGTCCAACTTTAGTCTAATTTTTTCTACTACTTTTTCTTTAATAAAATTTCATTTGTTGGTCTAATTAATCTTTCATCAACATGCCGCTAACACTATAAGTTTTTGGTTTTGATATAATCGTAAGAAATTAGGGTAATATTGTTTTATAGACATATTTTTGAAAAGGTGCCTGAAAGAAAATCTGTCTTTTGGGAAGGTTTCTGACATTAAAATTTTATTTTATTTCGGAGTAAGTTGGGACGGTTTGCCACCCAGAGTTTCCCAGCGGTTATCTTTGCACCTGGGGTCTTTGATTAGGTTTCCGGCGCAGCGGGTCAGCGTTACTACTTGATTCAGCTGTCAAATGGCAAAAGGCGCATCAGCCGGTGCCCCGGCTCTCATATAACCGTTTGACCCCGGGGTTTCCACATGAGCACCACAAATAGTTCGTTGCCCTGGTATGTTGGACTAGATCACAAGAGAGCAGCAACGCGGACGGGCACGCTAGTTGAGTATAGATATTCTTTAACATGCCACGGTGATCGGGAAGGAGATTTTGATGTCTAAGATGGAATTTTTAAATCTCATTATTTGCTCATTTAGGTGCTGTTAATTTGTTATGGAACAAATTGTAGATACGCCCATTGGGTCAATAACTTGGCCATCCTAAGAATCGAACATACAGAAGCGGCTAAAATGGATCTAAAGGAACTTTATATTAATCATTTTGCAAAATTAAAAGAAGATCTAAATAAATCATGAGCATTTTAAAAAAATTGTGCTTGGTTAGAGGCGTCAAAAGCTCGGGTGTTACCCTACATGTTTACTAAAGGTGTCATCCCATCGCCTCAACAGTTTAGCATTTTAGGTGGAGTTTCACCACTCGATCAGTAATCTTTTATTATTTTAGCTGGATACAACTTAGTTTTGACAGTAAATTATTCAATGCTTTGTCATCGTGTCAAGACTAAATGTTGCCTGACCCGCCTTGTTACGTTACTGTGTTTGGTAACTTAAAAAACAAAACAACAACTTAACTGTACGCCTGTAACTTTTTAAAAAACCACGGAGTAGTAGGCCAACATAATAATATAATATAATATAAATACACAATCAGGACGTATAAATACAAAATGTACAGGATATTTATATTATTTCCCCCCCCCCCACCCCCCCCCACCCCCTCATAAGTTTGAGTCGATTTCTTTGCTGTCCTTTGTGGTCTAACGGCTGACGAAACTGATAATTTTTGCATTAATGGCCCGAAAATCCTAGCTACGCCACTGGCGTTGCTGCTAAACAAGAAGTCGGGGTAGAGTCCAACCAGTTCTGATGGTTGTTGCGAACAATAAGGCTGTTGAGCATACACGTGAACTCTACTTCATCTTCCCACATGCGTGCATATCTATTTCTTCATCTCGGCAGTGTAATCATTCATGTAAGCAAAGCAAAAAAGTCCCATTTTATAGATCTTTTTCAGGTATATAGATCTAGGCCTAATATGGACATGGTGCGAATGGTAACATGATTTTCTTTAAGAAATGAATATGAATTTTTAACTTATTATTTATAATCAAGTTAGTTGCTTTCAATTAATTTATCCCATCCTACTTAATAGTTGTGTTTTAAAAAGGACGGGGGTCTAGATCTAGAACATATAATGTAAATATAGGCCTATGTCCTTGGTATTAAAATGTCTCTAGGCGCATTGCGTACGTTTTCGGTAATAAGTTTATAGAGTGCTGTCCTGGACAACGCTTTGTATAAACAAGATGGCGTCGTTTTAAATTTGTTTACATTTCAACATTTATTATTTATTAGGCCTATTATTTAATTTTCTAGTAGGTTCTGTTCAAAAGTTAAGACTATGTCTGTAGCTGTAAAGCATGACAAAAACCTTGCCAAACATAGGCCATTATGGAATATAAAAGGAACTCAAGATATCAGAAACAAAAGTAATTTTACCTAAAACTTTTACTTTAGTCTTAGTTAGTTATAGTTACTAGACTAGTTAGGGTAGGCATCCATTTTACTTTTCCTCAATATATGGCTGAGGGCATTAAAAAAAAACTGTGCCCAATCATCAATGTGTCTTGTGCACTGACAGGAATGATATGCCAGATGAGTCCTGTGGGGGGGGGGGGGGGGTGGGGGAACGGGACGGGACCATAATTAAATAATTCAAATCAAATTAAACTTATAGTATAGTAATAATGTGGTCAGTGTGAGAAGGCTACTATGCCCTGATGTCTTTAAAAAGAAAATATAAAAATGGATTTCTAATAGGCCTAATTTATATGTACAAATTTTTTTCAATAAGTGATGAATGTGATGTTTTAAAGTGTTGACTTCTCAAATAGAATATTATAAAATATTTTTTTTTTATTGAAAATATGAAATAATATGAAAAAATAAATATGAAATAATATGAAAAAACTGGAAGAATCTTGCTTTTCAGTTTTAAATTTGATGAGGAATCTTATATGAGAAACCATATATTTTTAAAAAAAGTAACCAGTTTATTTAAGACATTACGCCTACGCTATTTGGACAGTTTTTGTCTGAAGATTTTAGCCAGACCTCTCTATTCAGCCTGAGGCACAGAAATTACACACTGAGATTAGACCAGAGCCTTTGGGTTAGGGTTGATAGCATAAACTAAACAAAGGCTAATCAATGCCCTAAAAGTATTCAACTAAATAAGCTAAATGGATAACTGGATTCTATATCAGATCCATTGCATAACTTTTGTTGAAACAATGTTCATGCTACAAATGATTGGAAAAGTTTACTTTTGCAGTCTAGTAGACGTTTTTGCATATTGAAACATAGTGTTAAATGTGATTATGTACTAAATAATTGATTTAACAGTTCCAGAGCAAATAGAGGCTCCCACCATAAATTATGACTGGCTGACTAAACTGTGTGATATAGATGGCTTGAAGTCAAGGTAGACTTTTTGTGATTAAATCTGTTTGTGTATAGATCAATGCAGATGGCTACTCTTCTTTAACTAGATAAACTATCCATAGTTTTCTCAGTTTTTAAGATATATATAAAATATAACAAATAAAAGAATAGCAGGCCTATAATAATTGCTATATTCTTCATGTGGAAGATAAGTTTTTAATTGGAATTTTATTTTTTTAACAGAGACAAAGCTGAGTCAACTAAAGAAGCTCATGAGATATTCATGCAAAATTACAAACATATGTTTGTACAAAAACCAAAGAGAACAGGATATCACATCCCAAAAGCTATTGAGAATGAGTATAAATAGTCATGATTATATTTTTATAATTTCTGTAATTAATAATTTATATAATCTAGAAAAATCTTTTAAAATCTCTAATTTAAAAAAAAAATGTTTTATTTTTACTGTTTTACCTGATCTCTTTTATAAACAAGTTAATAAAAAAGTCTAGTGACATTTATGCGCAATTTCCTTATGTTATCTAAAAATAGCTCTGACGTATATTGCTGGGGTGCGTTCAAGCTAGAAGAACGATCGGTTTGTAGGTGTTTATGTAATTTTAAAATTTGTGACCGAACGAGAGGATATTTTTGAAAACTTTCTTCGGCAATATTGTTCTAAATTATGGCAGGAATCGATTGGTACATGTTTCAAGTCGCTAAGTGGTCTGATTGCCGAGATATGGGCCAAAAACTGAATTTTTTTGAGGTTTTTTGGCTTTTCCGGGAAATACATGAAAGAAACCCGGAATTTTTATGGCCTATGCTCATTCTCGTAACTTGCTTAACATAATTGCTTTTGGAACCAGTCATCGATATTGCTTCGTTGAGGAGGAGATACGACTTAAAGCCCGGACACACATTCATCCATACATTCATTCATCCATCCATCCATTCCCAGAAATGACGAGTTAATAAACGCAATTCTCCAGAATGGAAATTGCGCTAAAAAAGTATTTTTAGACAAATATTTAGAAATTTTTTTTTTTTCGTTTTTAAATTTTCAAACAATGACATGTTGTTTTTATTAAATTTTAAACTAGGACTCAATCTGGATCATTATCAAATCTAAGTAATCTTGCTGTGAGAAGTAAGCATTGTAGTTGTTCTTAACTAGTTTTAGGTTAAAACACTGTTTGAACTCAGTGTTAGAAATGAGAAGACATACTTTGAAAATGTAAAGGTTTTTTAACAGAAAGTTAGTTTATTCTATTTTTATTGTTTCAGTCATAGAACTAATTTCTGCTGACCTTATGACTTAAACTATTTATTGCTTTTTTCATCTGTTTGAGATTTTAACTAGGAGCATTTATGTTCATCTTCAGATTAAGCTTCTTTTGTTGGTTGGCCTATTCAGTAAAAACTGAAGATTTAATTATAATTTCTCTAGGCAGTTCAAGTGAGATACTGGATAGAAAGCTGCCAGCTGAAGACGTGTACACACACAACATCAAGGACTACCTACCTCTTGTTCACAAAGTGAAGAAAACAGAAAACACAAAAGCTGTTCAGGAAGAAAATATCAGAACATTACGTCAGCTCTTAAAGAAATAGTAAGATGCCTACAACAAATAGGCTACTTTATTGTCATCAACTAGTTATATTAATTTCTTAAGAAAATGTCCATCTAATTATATAGGAGAAAATTATTGTAAATCGACAATAAAATTTAAGTTAATTAACCAAAAGTAAATTTTTACTTTTATAACTTCATTTTTCAGCCCTTTTGAAAGAAATGCTGCTGAAAATGAGAAAATCTACTCTATATTGAAAACATTTGACTTTTTCAAAGAGAATGTTGAGGCTCCAGTGTTGAAAGAGTTGTCAGTGCTGGCTCAGCTGGAAACATGGAATGAAGAAAATTTTGCAGGTGATGAAGTTTTTTGTTTAGTCAGCTCACTTATTTCACTCTTGTCAGAATTATTTGGTTCAAGTTTACTATCCTCATTCTAGTAATATCTTTAAAGTTTTAGATACAGTAGGTAATGTAAACACCTTTTTTTTTTACCAATATAGTTGATTAAATATGTTAGTTTTTTCCTCCAGTGTATGGTAAAACAGGAATTCACATGATTCTGAAAGGATCAGTTTTGGCCCAGTTTACACCATATCTGATTGCTGACAGTGAAGGTTTTGGCAGCCCTCATTTTCAATCTACTGTTAACTCTACTACAAAGCCTAAAAAGGTATAAAACAAAATACACAACCATTTAGTATTTGATTGCAATTTAATAACAATTAATTTTTTAAAGAATTTTATTTTACAAATATAAGCCTGTTAAGATAATTAACTATATACAATGATAGTTGTTTTTTTGTGATGTTCAGCTTTCAGTTGGTGACTTCTTTGGTACTTGGTTATCTTTAGATGATGCTTACATACCGTAAGTAAAGATAAATTACTGACTTACCATCTCAATAACATAATGTTTCAAAAGCTTTGAATTTTTTCCTACTCACTGTTAAATATTGGTAACATAAGATAGCCTTGCATTAAAATTATTTAATGATTTTAAAAAATCATTGCTCGGACTTACTTCAGAGAACTGAGTGTGGTTACAGCTGAATGTAATTGTGAGTTCCTTAAGATTACTACTAATGATTACAAGCGTGTCAAAGAGGTAAACTTAATTACTCTATTTTTTAAGCTTAAGAAACTAATTAAGACATGAATAAAGTGAATCAAGTCAATATACACGGCTTTTGTTTACACCAGTTGTCCATATTATGAGTTTAGTTCTGTCTAAGCAATACCTAACAGTGAATGTGACACATTTTTCAGCAAATTCAACAGCGTGAGCATAAGGAGAAGATGAACTTGCTACTCTCTTGTGAGCAGTACATGAAGTGGCCCAAACAACCTTTGACCTCATTAGCTGAGACCATTGAATGGATGACCTACCCTCCCAACACTGGTGATATATCTATAAGCTCTTCAATATAAAAGTTTGAAACACTTGCATACATTGTTTTTATCCTTAAAAACACAACATATTATTGGAAATCCACTTTGATATCCATCATTTTTTGTGTGAAAATATGAAAAAAAATTTCTTGTTAGAATTTAGAAAAATGCATCCATATCTAAAAGTATTTACTCTAGTATTCCTCTCAATTTCAGTTCTGATGAGTGAGGGCTATAAATCTCCATTTATTGGCTTCATCTTGAGTGGGGAGTGTCATGTATTGAGGCAGATTGAAGTTCTACACACATTCAAAAATGGAAAGAAGGTTTGTCCATGCTCGTTACAGTCAAAGAGATTTCTAAACTTCTACCTGCAATTATTTTTTTCAAATAACTAGTCTAAAATAATCATCTTGGTGACTCCCTGCTGCCAATTCAAATGTTATATTTATTGTTTACATCCCAATTCATTTTCTACTTACCTACTTTTGTTTGATTTGACTTTCAAAACCAGTATAATAAACTGTCATTTAGTTATGGCATATTCTATTAGCTTTATGTTCATCCAAAATAACCTAGACACATAAATATAGCCTATTACATATATAAAAAGACACCATTTGTTTTCTTTTAGGAAAAACGCACCAAACAGGTAGTAATGGGAAAGTTGGGTCCCTACAATTCATTTGCTGAAATAAGTTTACTTTTAGATGAGCCAATCACGTGTTCAATTGTAACAGCAACTAAACTACAACTAGGTGTTATAAGACCAGAAAAATTAAATAGTAAGTTGCAATTATTTTTACTGTCAAGTTTATTCATTTCGATTTAATCCTATAAGTCATACAACTATTATAAATCTTTTGTAATTTGACACATATCTTCCAATTTTTATTAATAAAATAAAAAAATTAGTACTTATGCTATAAGAGTGAGAACTGAGGATTTCTGATACACATATTCAACATCAGGGACAGCCTGGCCTAGCGGTAGAGAGCTAGACTGCTAACTGAGTTCAAATCCAAGTTCAAAATCCCTGAGTCCACTGAGCTCTGATGGGTGCCTAACATACGTTTAGTAAACAAAGGTGGCTTGGCATGGTGCTGACCACACTATCATAGGCTGAGGTCTCTGAGGCAGATATTTGGGCACAACTGGGAAATGATGACAATATACAACATCAAAGTTTAGAGTTTATATAATTGATGGTTGTGCCATAGTGGTATAAGTAATGCTACAAAGACATTTTAGTAGAAATTTTAGGACGGATGGAAACAAGATATTTGATCTGTAACTAGGATGTGGATATAACTCCAATTTGTTAAGAAGTCATCATATAGTCATGGGTTGGATGCACTTTGTTATTGATTAAATACATTTTGTACTAGTGTGTTGTTGTAATGTTTCCTGAACTGAACTGTCCTAAAATTGTTTACTTTATTCTATCCATTAAACCCCTAGAGCTGGATGAAGTAACAAAACAGTTGTTGAGACAGTCCAATAAAAAAACATATGGAGACCTCACCAAGGTATATAAAACACATTTCTTTTTAGGACAGAAAGTCTAAAGTGATAAAACAACTAAATTTGATATGATCTAATCCAAAAGTCAATAACTCATTAAACAAAACTAACTGTGATATGATTTAAGCAGAAAGTCTATGGTGATTAAAGACCAACATTGATATGATTTATTCAGAAAGTCTATAGGTCATGAAACAAAACTAACTTAACAGGGCCTATAGTTTACTTTAACCAGAAAGTCTCTAACTAAAACAAACTTACAATGACATGATTTAATCAAAATGATCATAAAACAAAGTTAACTGTTTAGTGCAGTACATGTCATCAATGCTGTTTAGTCTAGTACACAAGTGAACAGTCATGTACAACGTTGTAGCCTACACATGGTATCAGTGCTACCTTGTTTAGTGTTGTAGCCTACACATGGTATCAGTGCTACCTAGTTTAGTGTTGTAGCCTACACATGGTATCAGTGCTACCTAGTTTAGTGTTGTAGCCTACACATGGTATCAGTGCTACCTAGTTTAGTGTTGTAGCCTACACATGGTATCAGTGCTACCTAGTTTAGTGTTGTAGCCTACACATGGTATCAGTGCTACCTAGTTTAGTGTTGTAGGCTACACATGGTATCAGTGCTATCTATTTTAGTGTTGTAGCCTACACATGGTATCAGTGCTACCTAGTTTAGTGTTGTAGCCTACACATGGTATCAGTGCTACCTAGTTTAGTGTTGTAGCCTACACATGGTATCAGTGCTACCTAGTTTAGTGTTGTAGCCTACACATGGTATCAGTGCTACCTAGTTTAGTGTTGTAGGCTACACATGGTATCAGTGCTATCTATTTTAGTGTTGTAGCCTACACATGGTATCAGTGCTACCTAGTTTAGTGTTGTAGGCTACACATGGTATCAGTGCTATCTATTTTAGTGTTGTAGGCTACACATGGTATCAGTGCTACCTAGTTTAGTGTTGTAGCCTACACATGGTATCAGTGCTATCTATTTTAGTGTTGTAGGCTACACATGGTATCAGTGCTACCTAGTTTAGTGTTGTAGCCTACACATGGTATCAGTGCTATCTATTTTAGTGTTGTAGGCTACACATGGTATCAGTGCTACCTAGTTTAGTGTTGTAGCCTACACATGGTATAAGTGCTATCTATTTTAGTAATGTAGGCTACACATGGTATCAGTGCTACCTAGTTTAGTGTTGTAGCCTACACATGGTATCAGTGCTACCTAGTTTAGTGTTGTAGCCTACACATGGTATCAGTGCTACCTAGTTTAGTGTTGTATCCTACACATGGTATCAGTGCTATCTATTTTAGTGTTGTAGGCTACACATGGTATCAGTGCTACCTAGTTTAGTGTTGTAGCCATGATCAGTGCTACCTAGTTTAGTGGTGTAGCCTACACATGGTATCAGTGCTACCTAGTTTAGTGTTGTAGCCTACACATGGTATCAGTGCTATCTATTTTAGTGTTGTAGGCTACACATGGTATCAGTGCTACCTATTTTAGTGTTGTAGCCATGATCAGTGCTACCTAGTTTACTGTTGTAGCCTACACATGGTATCAGTGCTACCTAGTTTAGTGTTGTTGCCCACACATGGTATCAGTGCTACCTAGTTTAGTGTTGTAGCCTACACATGGTATCAGTGCTACCTAGTTTAGTGTTGTAGGCTACACATGGTATCAGTGCTATCTATTTTAGTGTTGTAGGCTACACATGGTATCAGTGCTACCTAGTTTAGTGTTGTAGCCTACACATGGTATCAGTGCTATCTATTTTAGTGTTGTAGGCTACACATGGTATCAGTGCTACCTAGTTTAGTGTTGTAGCCTACACATGGTATCAGTGCTACCTAGTTTAGTGTTGTAGCCTACACATGGTATCAGTGCTACCTAGTTTAGTGGTGTAGCCTACACATGGTATCAGTGCTATCTATTTTAGTGTTGTAGGCTACACATGGTATCAGTGCTACCTAGTTTAGTGTTGTAGCCATGATCAGTGCTACCTAGTTTAGTGGTGTAGCCTACACATGGTATCAGTGCTACCTAGTTTAGTGTTGTAGCCTACACATGGTATCAGTGCTATCTATTTTAGTGTTGTAGGCTACACATGGTATCAGTGCTACCTAGTTTAGTGTTGTAGCCATGATCAGTGCTACCTAGTTTACTGTTGTAGCCTACACATGGTATCAGTGCTACCTAGTTTAGTGTTGTTGCCCACACATGGTATCAGTGCTACCTAGTTTAGTGTTGTAGCCTACACATGGTATCAGTGCTACCTAGTTTAGTGTTGTAGCCTACACATGGTATCAGTGCTACCTAGTTTAGTGTTGTAGCCTACACATGGTATCAGTGCTACCTAGTTTAGTGGTGTAGCCTACACATGGTATCAGTGCTACCTAGTTTAGTGTTATAGGCTACACATGGTATCAGTGCTACCTAGTTTAGTGTTGTAGCCTACACATGGTATCAGTGCTACCTAGTTTAGTGTTGTAGCCTACACATGGTATCAGTGCTACCTAGTTTAGTGTTGTTTCCTACACATGGTATCAGTGCTACCTAGTTTAGTGTTGTTGCATATACATGGTATCAGTGCTACCTAGTTTAGTGTTATAGGCTACACATGGTATCAGTGCTACCTAGTTTAGTGTTGTAGCCATGATCAGTGCTACCTAGTTTAGTGTTGTAGGCTACACATGGTATCAGTGCTACCTAGTTTAGTGTTGTTGGCTACACATGGTATCAGTGCTACCTAGTTTAGTGTTGTAGCCTACACATGGTATCAGTGCTACCTAGTTTAGTGTTGTAGCCTACACATGGTATCAGTGCTACCTAGTTTAGTGGTGTAGCCTACACATGGTATCAGTGCTACCTAGTTTAGTGTTGTAAGCTTCACATGGTATCAGTGCTACCTAGTTTAGTGTTGTAGCCTACACATGGTATCAGTGCTACCTAGTTTAGTGTTGTAGGCTACACATGGTATCAGTGCTACCTAGTTTAGTGTTGTGGCCATGATGAGTGCTACCTAGTTTAGTGTTGTAGCCTATACATGGTATCAGTGCTACCTAGTTTACTGTTGTAGCCTACACATGGTATCAGTGCTACCTAGTTTAGTGTTGTAGCCTACACATGGTATCAGTGCTACCTAGTTTAGTGTTGTAGGCTACACATGGTATCAGTGCTATCTATTTTAGTGTTGTAGGCTACACATGGTATCAGTGCTACCTAGTTTAGTGTTGTAGCCTACACATGGTATCAGTGCTATCTATTTTAGTGTTGTAGGCTACACATGGTATCAGTGCTACCTAGTTTAGTGTTGTAGCCTACACATGGTATCAGTGCTACCTAGTTTAGTGTTGTAGCCTACACATGGTATCAGTGCTACCTAGTTTAGTGGTGTAGCCTACACATGGTATCAGTGCTATCTATTTTAGTGTTGTAGGCTACACATGGTATCAGTGCTACCTAGTTTAGTGTTGTAGCCATGATCAGTGCTACCTAGTTTAGTGGTGTAGCCTACACATGGTATCAGTGCTACCTAGTTTAGTGTTGTAGCCTACACATGGTATCAGTGCTATCTATTTTAGTGTTGTAGGCTACACATGGTATCAGTGCTACCTAGTTTAGTGTTGTAGCCATGATCAGTGCTACCTAGTTTACTGTTGTAGCCTACACATGGTATCAGTGCTACCTAGTTTAGTGTTGTTGCCCACACATGGTATCAGTGCTACCTAGTTTAGTGTTGTAGCCTACACATGGTATCAGTGCTACCTAGTTTAGTGTTGTAGCCTACACATGGTATCAGTGCTACCTAGTTTAGTGTTGTAGCCTACACATGGTATCAGTGCTACCTAGTTTAGTGGTGTAGCCTACACATGGTATCAGTGCTACCTAGTTTAGTGTTATAGGCTACACATGGTATCAGTGCTACCTAGTTTAGTGTTGTAGCCTACACATGGTATCAGTGCTACCTAGTTTAGTGTTGTAGCCTACACATGGTATCAGTGCTACCTAGTTTAGTGTTGTTTCCTACACATGGTATCAGTGCTACCTAGTTTAGTGTTGTTGCATATACATGGTATCAGTGCTACCTAGTTTAGTGTTATAGGCTACACATGGTATCAGTGCTACCTAGTTTAGTGTTGTAGCCATGATCAGTGCTACCTAGTTTAGTGTTGTAGGCTACACATGGTATCAGTGCTACCTAGTTTAGTGTTGTTGGCTACACATGGTATCAGTGCTACCTAGTTTAGTGTTGTAGCCTACACATGGTATCAGTGCTACCTAGTTTAGTGTTGTAGCCTACACATGGTATCAGTGCTACCTAGTTTAGTGGTGTAGCCTACACATGGTATCAGTGCTACCTAGTTTAGTGTTGTAAGCTTCACATGGTATCAGTGCTACCTAGTTTAGTGTTGTAGCCTACACATGGTATCAGTGCTACCTAGTTTAGTGTTGTAGGCTACACATGGTATCAGTGCTACCTAGTTTAGTGTTGTGGCCATGATGAGTGCTACCTAGTTTAGTGTTGTAGCCTATACATGGTATCAGTGCTACCTAGTTTACTGTTGTAGCCTACACATGGTATCAGTGCTACCTAGTTTAGTGTTGTAGGCTACACATGTGATCAGTGCTACCTAGTTTAGTGTTGTAGGCTACACATGTGATCAGTGCTACCTAGTTCAGTGTAAACAAGCTTGTATAAAATATTTACTCTCAACCAGGAGGATATCCAGAATGAGTATCTGGAGCAGGAGTTAAAGAGAGAATGGAACGAGTTCAAGCACGCACAAGTTCTTGATGTAATAAACACACGAGGGATTCGGCCAGGCTTTGGGAAGTGGGCCAAGTGATCAACTGTTTTATACTGGCTAGGCTTTTTGTATTGGTTGGAATGATACAAGTTTTCAATGTGATCCCAGAGTAATGTAAACAATTTCTAGCCTAAGGTCAATGTTACAAAAATAACAGTGTGTTGTATTGACTGTGTTGTAAGGATCTGTAAATAAAACCAAAATATTATTGTCAACATTATTATTTTTTGTGTGCAATCACTTTGCTGAATCAAATGTAAAGGAAACTTATCCTTAAAGTAAGCAGGTTAAGCTATGGCGTGGTCAGTTGGTAAAGAATACAACTGCCCAAGACATTGATGGTTTTTTTTTTTGGGGGGGGGGGGGGGGGGGGAGACACGTCCCTCACCGACTAATGGGATGGACATGTCCAACCCTTGTCATCATCGCCTGATAAGGGAACATGCTCCAATAATAGATAGGTGGACATGCCCACTGAGGGAAGAACATACCACACCAATAGATAGGTGGACATGCCCACTGAGGGAAGAACATACCACACCAATAGATAGGTGGACACGCCCACTGAGGGAAGAACATACCACACCAATAGATAGGTGGACATGCCCACTGAGGGAGGAACATACCACACCAATAGATAGGTGGACATGCCCACTGAGGGAGGAACATACCACACCAATAGATAGGTGGACAGCCCCATCCGCTGATGTGGGGGTGATACACCCCCGCTTATTGGGACACGCCTCACCCCCTTTTGGGAAAACACGTGCCACTCAAAGTTCCTTCCAGGCATCTTCGGGGTGGGGGGGGGGGGGGGCTGGGGGGGCTGGCGTTTCCGCCCCCCCTCCAGAAGAAAGTCTACCCCCCGAACGAAATGAAATTTATATAGAAAATATATACTTTTAACAGTGTGCGCAACTCTCCCCCCGGTAATTTTAGTCCGCCCCCGCCCCCGGAGAAAAAGTCTGGAAGAAACACTGGTGCTACTCGCTACATTGATGGGGGGGGGGCACTCATACAATACACTAGTGACAAAGAGCGCAATGCCAGTGTATAATAATATCACTTATTATTATTATTATTATTATTACAAAAACTCTCGAATCGTCTGGCCTTTCTCAATGAAGGAATGTATTCTGTTTGTAACAGAAACATTCTTGTGTTAAACTGCCTTATTATTTTTGGCAGACTGCATAGATTATAAAAAGGCAATTAGGCAATAAGTTTGTATGTAAACAACAAGGGGATAACTCCCTTGGCCTACGATGTTTTTTTTTAAACCAGTGAATTCGTGTTCACGTCATTTTTACATCAGCCATTGTGGACGTTACCAGCCTACAACAGTTTGTATCCGTTAAGTTTATATCAAGTTACAACAAGTTTACATCAACTTACAACAAGTTTACACACAAAAAATAAACCACAGTAAGATAAGTAGCATCGTTTAAATATAGTTGTATAATTTTTCTCATCTAGAGTAATTTTATAAATATGAAAAGGGAGAAAAAATACCAGGAGCATTTACATAGGGTTTGTTTCCTTTGGTTTGTTAGAATTTTTAAAACGGAAACTTGTTCAATTACTACTGTGGTGTAGAGATAAATCTTGTATATCAAATAATGGTAACATCTGTGTACTGTGGTGTACATACATCTTTGTACTGTGGTGTACTGACATCTTTGTACTGTGGTGTACATACATATCTTGTACAACAAATTATGGTAACATCTGTGTACTGTGGTGTACAGACATCTTTGTACTGTGATGTACAGACATCTTGTATTGTGGTGTACAAACATCTTTTTACTGTGGTGTACATACATCTTTGTACTGTGGTGTACAGACATCTTTTGTACTGTGGTGTACAAACATCTTGTACAACAAATTATGGTAACATCTGTGTACTGTGATGTACAGACATCTTTGTACTGTGATGTACAGACATCTTGTACTGTGATGTACAGACATCTTTTGTACTGTGGTGTACAGACATCTTTGTACTGTGATGTACAGACATCTTTGTACTGTGGTGTACATACATCTTTGTACTGTGGTGTACAGACATCTTTGTACTGTGATGTATAGACATCTTTGTACTGTGGTGTACAGACATCTTTGTACTGTGGTGTACAGACATCTTTGTACTGTGGTGTACAGGCATCTGTGTACAGTGGTGTACAGACATCTTTGTACTGTGGTGTACATACATCTTTGTACTATGGTGTACAGACATCTTTGTACTGTGGTGTACATACATCTTTTGTACTGTGGTGTACAAACATCTTGTACAACAAATTATGGTAACATCTGTGTACTGTGGTGTACAGACATCTTTGTACTGTGATGTACAGACATCTTGTATTGTGGTGTACAGACATCTTTTTACTGTGGTGTACATACATCTTTGTACTGTGGTGTACAGACATCTTTGTACTGTGGTGTACAGGCATCTGTGTACAGTGGTGTACAGACATCTTTGTACTCTGGTGTACAGACATCTTTGTACTCTGGTGTACAGACATTTTTGTACTGTGGTGTACATACATCTTTGTACTATGGTGTACAGACATTTTTGTACTGTGGTGTACAGACATATCCTGTACAACAAATTATGGTAACATCTGTGTACTGTGGTGTACAGACATCTTTGTACTGTGATGTACAGACATCTTGTATTGTGGTGTACAGACATCTTTTTACTGTGGTGTACATACATCTTTTGTACTGTGGTGTACAAACATCTTGTACAACAAATTATGGTAACATCTGTGTACTGTGATGTACAGATATCTTTGTACTGTGATGTACAGACATCTTGTACTGTGATGTACAGACATCTTTTGTACTGTGGTGTACAGACATCTTTGTACTGTGGTGTACAGACATCTTTGTACTGTGGTGTACAGACATCTTTGTACTGTGGTGTACAGACATCTTTGTACTGTGATGTACAGACATCTTTGTACTGTGGTGTACAGACATCTTTGTACTGTGGTGTACAGACATCTTTGTACTGTGGTGTACAGGCATCTGTGTACAGTGGTGTACAGACATCTTTGTACACTGGTGTACATACATCTTTGTACTATGGTGTACAGAAATCTTTGTACTGTGGTGTACAGACATCTTGTACTGTGATTTTCAGACATCTTTGTACTGTGGTGTACAGACATATCTTGTACAACAAATTATGGTAACATCTGTGTACTGTGGTGTACAGACATCTTTGTACTGTGATGTACAGACATCTTGTATTGTGGTGTACAGACATCATTTTACTGTGGTGTACATACATCTTTGTACTGTGGTGTACAGACATCTTTTGTACTGTGGTGTACAAACATATCTTGTTCAACAAATTATGGTAACATCTGTGTACTGTGATGTACAGACATCTTTGTACTGTGATGTACAGACATCTTGTACTGTGATGTACAGACATCTTTTGTACTGTGGTGTACAGACATCTTTGTACTGTGATGTACAGACATCTTTGTACTGTGGTGTACAGACATCTTTGTACTGTGGTGTACAGACATCTTTGTACTGTGGTGTACAGACATCTTGTACTGTGATGTACAGACATCTTTGTACTGTGGTGTACAGACATATCTTGTACAACAAATTATGGTAACATCTGTGTACTGTGGTATACAGACATCTTTGTACTGTGATGTACAGACATCTTGTATTGTGGTGTACAGACATCATTTACTGTGGTGTACATACATCTTTTGTACTGTGGTGTACAGACATCTTTTGTACTGTGGTGTACAAACATATCTTGTACAACAAATTATGGTAACATCTGTGTACTGTGACGTACAGACATCTTTGTACTGTGATGTACAGACATCTTTGTACTGTGGTGTACAGACATCTTTGTACTGTGGTGTACAGACATCTTTGTACAGTGGTGTACAGACATCTTTGTACTCTGGTGTACAGACATCTTTGTACTCTGGTGTACAGACATCTTTGTACTCTGGTGTACAGACATTTTTGTACTGTGGTGTACATACATCTTTGTACTATGGTGTACAGACATTTTTGTACTGTGGTGTACAGACATATCTTGTACAACAAATTATGGTAACATCTGTGTACTGTGGTGTACAGACATCTTTGTACTGTGATGTACAGACATCTTGTACAACAAATACTGGTAGCAACTTTGTACTGTGATGTACCGACATCATTTAAAAAGTAGATATGTTATAAATAGCTATACTCATGTGTTTAGTCTAGTTTATCATTTTAAAATCTCCTATTTCCGATATTTCTTCTTGTATATTTTAACCTTGACACGATATTATAAATTATACACGCACATTCCTATTTCTTTAATTAGCTTTCAGAAAACGGGCACTACAAAGTCTGAATTCTCTAAAAGCTCTTCAGTCATTTAATTTGCAGTCATAATGAAGATTTGATCCGATATCAAGTTAACTTTTCAGTTAGTTGGTAAAAATACGACTTGCCACATAACTATTACAAAACTTAAATAATTGTTGGCGAAAATTGGTCAATTCTTTTAAATAAAAGCGACCACTTCACGTTTGCGGTAACACAGTGACCAATGCTATATAGAAAAAAACACACATTAGTGCTGCTACCAGTATCTTATCACCTAGGATACTTTTTTGTTTCACCAGTTGTACTATATGGAACTATGTGTGGGTATCAGTACAGTTTTGTAAAATCTTTTGTCCTAATTGAAGTTTTTAAAATGAATTTTTTCTCTACTTCCCCCTACAGTTTGTACAGTGTAAGTCTTCACACTGAACGCTACTGTAAACAACCTGCGTCTCTACAGCTGTGATGCCAGAAATGTTATTTAAATAACTAGAGTTCTAATCAACCGAAATGCCGAAGATTATACATTTGTTATATACCGTGCGAATTTTTTAACGTGGCCTAACACAGATGTAGGGATTGGAAATAAGTGTTAGTAAATTATTTGACTACGTCCGGCAATTACATTATTTTGTATTTGTACAAGCGTATTGAATTACATACCTTACTTCTTAGATTGTAGTTGTACAATCGTATTGAATTACATACCTTACTTCTTAGATTACATTTGTACGATCGTATTGAATTACACACCTTACTTCTTAGATTACATTTGTACGATCGTATTGAATTACATACCTTACTTCTTAGATTGCAGTTGTACAATCGTATTGAATTACAAACCTTACTTCTTAGATTGCAGTT